CAGCACCAAACACAATGTGGCAGTTAACTGCAGTATCTCAGCCCCCACATTCCAACTTAACTTCAAGGAATGTGGGTGGCAAAGGTCAATATTCTCTAGACCAAGTCAGAAACAACTAGTCAACAAAGTTTTTTGGAGTTGCACCAAACTGATTGAATAAAATCTGACTCATAAAAGAATGGCAACGAAAATGAAACAAGAAAACAACATAATTGGGCTGTCTCTGAACATTTGGCCTCAGTCAGTGCAGATGAATTAGTGGATTGAGGATGATGGTTTGTCCAAAATAACTCGACTTTTGGACCTGGGTGTTCTTTTTTTACATCCGTTTATAGAAAAAAACATCTATTTGGACCATTCCGTCTGTATCCTCTCATTCATCAATTTTTACGCGAAGGTACAGGCACATGACAGCGACACCGTGAGGCCGACGGGGATGGAGGAGAGGGTGCAGGAGGAGGAGGAGGAAGAGGAGGAGGAGGAGGAGGTGTGCGCTATGGATGCGCGCAGCACGGGCTTGTTACGCGGGCAGCGGAGCCGCGGTGTGACCTATCCCAGCTGCTGCCGTCGGGGAACCAGAGCTATTCCAGTCCCCCTGTGGCTCAGTCACGTGTCCTTGGGGAGCGTTTGGTTTGCAGAACACGTCAGAAAAAAAAGAGAGGGAGCGCACCGTTGCGCGCAACCGAGTTGAAAAGCAACATCCCTCAACAAGCGCTGATGGTCCGGCTGCAAATCAAGCAGATGAATTAGGTTTAGGGGTTTAGCTGTCACAACACACTAATGTTGCGTTAGCTCGTCTTGACACTCTGCCTGTGACCCACAAGTCCCTGCCTGGTCCAAACTTCTCCGCTTACGAACTGTGATCTCCACAGCGAGCGCCTTGTTCCTGCCTACAAGTCGACATCCAGAGCTGTCACAGCAAGCCGAGGTAGGCTGTACTTATTTTTTTTTTCTTTTAAATAGAAGAGTAAGAGACAAACGTGCTCAGAAGGACACGGGCTGGCACAGTAATCAGTTAGTTCTGTCCGGGGCGGATGCTGTGCGCGGGTGCGTGTTTGTGATGGCCGTGGTGGAAGCGCATGGGAAGCTTCCCATCGAAAAAAAACGTGCTTGATGAAAACAACGAGCGTGTGTGCGTGAGAGTGCCCTGGCAGATGTCTGATACGGGGTGTCAGTTTTGCATCTAAGACATCATTTTTCCTGTTGTTATAATTCAAATGCCCGGGGTCTGCAAATGAGTATTTGGAACTATTAAAGTGAAATAAAACTACTCCAGCCACAGAGTGCAATGCTGTTGCTTTTGCTTAATGAGAAACTGGATCATTTATTAACTCTGTAAGATTATTTCTGCTGTCAAGGACTTTTTTTTGTTATGTGTGCAGTTTAAAGTGCATGTAGTCATCCAGAGAAGAGATAAACAGTTGAAATACACTTTATCTATCTACTTTTCTTTTCTTTTTAGCCTCATCGGGGCCCTAATACAAACGAACATGTCTAATTTGTAGGAATATTGTATTTATTTTCATACACAAACGTGCATGCACATACACTGTAGTTCTCATTACTATGCAAAAAAAAAGAAATTGAGGCCCTGTGCAATAATCAACGTCACCAATAGATACAAAACAGGAATCATGCAGTTCCCGATGGGCACATCTCCTCTGTTTGGCTCTTGCTGTTCGTACGGTTACTGTGGGGGTATGAGCTGCCTCTTCTGACAGGGGAGAAAAAAGGGCTCGGGGTTTGGCCTCGAAAAGGCAAAGTGTAAAATGTCAGCAAGGCATCATTAATGCATAAGACCAAAACAATGCTGTGCAGGGGAAGCAGGGTCCAGTGTCACAGAGTGTTCTCTGTCCCTATTCTGCACAGTTGGCCGAAAGGAAGATCTGTTAGATGTGAAATAAAACCCATTTGCGGCTCAGTTTCTCCTCCACAGCCTTAGATTCAGTCAGATCCTTTTTTTAAAATATGAAACCGTTGTATTAAACAGGAGGAAAAAAGAGGAGGAGTTCTTCTCCACTTCTCTTGATCTCTTGTTATAGCACGATCAGAGTGGTTAATGAGACAGGTCTCAGTGCATGGTGCCCGACACTCTCTGAGACAGCTCTGCTAGTTGGGTGAATAAAGCTGACACCCTCATTCATCATGCATCTACAAGGTGCTGCCTGCTCTCTCAGTCCATCCATGCCTGCCAGTCAGTCTCGTGCACACTCTCATGTTGAGCCTTCAGATGATGATTATTAAGACCTTATGTTGATTGTGAGAACAGGGCCTCATTTGTGGAGCGTTTGAGGAAAGGGCCGTGTCAGTGTCTGTGTGCTGGCGTGATTACAGCTCTGCCAGAGGGCTGGCGCTCTGTGAGGATGCTGCTGCAGCTGCAACGACTTCCAAGAATAGTAGAGTAGTGTACAAGTGTGACTGTGTACGCCTCTACAGTGGAAGACAGAGGGACTTTTAGCCTTTTTGCTGATCTTTTCGTTGTTGTTTTTTCAGAAAGTCACCAAATAGCCAAAAACTGTATGCAATTTGCTTCCTTTTCCATTCATTGCAGTCAAATTAGAACTCATTACAGGGACACTTGATCATGCCATTGTGACTGTATAGAGCTTCACCTGTTTGGATTAAAGTGCAAGTGTGGGGAAGATTGTGGCCCTAATATCTTTCCATGTTTTTTCTCCAGTGTTTATGATAATTTTGCTTCTGTTTTCTGCACAGGATTATAATTTTTATGGATTTTTTTAGCAGAATTTAGTTTAATCCATTTATTGATAACAGTTTCAAGTTCTTGATGTTATTTGATGGTTTGCCAAAGTGAAGATGCACATTTGAAACGCTGTGCATTTGGTCTCTTCTTGCCAGTGGGCCATTAGGGTTTGAAAATGCGAACATATCAACTAAAAATCAAACACTCACAATCCCTCCTTAAATATCAACACATTGCTGTGGCCTGCCCTGCTGCTTTATAACTCACAATCCTGCTCCACAATGACTTAAAGAAATGGTTGTGACAGCCCTGAGTTTGTACATACAGTAAATGCCTCGCAGGGCACCGCTCTGCAGTATTACCAGGAATGAGATGCCATCTACAATTAAGAAAATCAACTCATAATCTTTACAGTAAAAATGTAATCTAGCTTTCAGTTGTTTGATGCTACCACATTCTTTGGTGCAGATCTGACACGCTGTCTGAAGAACAGAACAAGCATATTTAAGTCGCTTATGTTCTTTAAAGTTTTAAATCTGGAGTACCTTGTTTTTCTTAACTTTTATGCAAAGAGTTTAAATCTATAGTGATAGGTGTTCTTACTACTATGTTTGTATTATGTCTGCGTTCATTCAATGAGTTTATTCATAAAGAGATGTGTAGATGTATGTAAGACCATAATTATTATCTTAAAGAACAACCTCAAATCACCCAGTCGTGTTCCATTCCTGATTTATCCCTCTGAGGGTCATTAATTGGGCTACAGCACATCACAGCTGCCATCAATCCAGGGGCGGGCTACGTCTTGGACAGGTTGTTAGTCCATTATAGAGCCAACACAGAGGCAAATAAGACGGTCGGTTTTGAATCACCATCCTCAAACCCCGACCCCAGAAATAACCACCCATACAGATCCCGTATTGCTAATGATCAATTTGATAATGAATTCATCCTGTTATTGTACTCTCTTTCATCCATAATTACACCATTTAGGAGCACATGCTGGTATCATAGTGCTGTTTCTCAGTTGGATAGTTGTTTGATTACCTCCAGCTTCCTCTAAAAATGAAGATCCCTGCACAACATTAATACGGTGGTCTCATTGGCTCTGGTTAAAGATTTTTACAAGAGCCGTACAAACTGTGCTCATCGGCTGAGGCCGAAATTACAAATCCTCCAGCCAGATGTGAAACCAGATGGGCATGAAAAGTTAATCACCTTTAAATTGGGTCAGGCTCCACCTCCGAGAAATGCCTTAAAAAATCTACCCATAGCCTTTTTTGGTGTAATATTGCCAACAAACAAACACACACATGCAAACCAATAACAGATCCAATAAGAAGAAGCTTTAACGGTGCACAGGTAGGTAAATGGATCACTTTGGAAAATTTGCTCAACAAGAGTGGGTTTTCCCGACCCATTCAACTCTGATAGGAATAATTAAGAAACCACCGTCAGCTTCCTCTTCCTGCTGAGAGAGTTTTACCTTTGTAACCACACACGGAGCTTCTGATCTTTCGAGTGCTCCTCCCCTCATCATGTTGCACTGCATCCATCTCATAGATTACTTTATGTCATTACACCAAAATATCCAGTTCTCTTATTTTTTTTTCATTGTTTTTTCATCACAAACACTAGAATGAGACATATTACATCACAGGGTCATTGATTTCTCCTTGATCTCTTTCCTCAGATCTGCTGCCTTCAGATTTATCTCTCTGCTCCCCCTCAGCACGCCTAGAAAAAAAAACACGAACGCAGAAAAATGAATTCAGCGTTCGACTGAGCCGATGAAAAGGTGACCTCCGCAGTCCTCTTACTGGTGCTGGGATTGCTCGCGGAGCCTGCTCGTTGTCGTGAACCCCTCGTGTGAGTGTGGACGTGTGGCATTTAGTGTTCCTTATCTAGAAGATTGACAGAGTGGCAGGCTGACCTCAGGAAGACACTACAGACCCCGGCAGCACCACCCCGTCTGTACAGTGAAACATCAGGGCCGTCAGGGGGTTTGAAACAGTTTTTCACACCTCTCAAGGGGGGGGTTTGATATTCAATTATGAGGTTTCTTCACTTCAATCTGTTTTGGAGTCTTGTGAGAAACCCCTGCTGTTTCATGAGTGGGCATCTCAGCTAAATAAGCTCCCAGTTTGCCCCGGAGCGAGGAAAAAAATAAGGCAGATGGCTCGCGGGGGGTGTTTTTCAACTGACGTGGCAGAAGTTTGTTGTGCTCCTGCCTTACTGGTGAGGATGTGCAGAGACGGGAGAACATCAAAGGGGGTCCGGTCGAAAAACAAAGAAAATGCAGGTCCAAAAAGGGAGCTTTTTCAAAGCCCTAGAGGGAGCGCAGAGAGACGGTGTCAGTCCTTTACGTCTCATCCAGCTCAGGTCTCGCAGCGTTGTGCTGACAAGACAGCGAGGGGCGGCGGGTGACGGGCGGCCCGGCGTTTGCACGGGCTCAGCGTTCAGAGAGCAGGTCCCCCTCCGTCACCTCGTGGAGGGGAGGTGTCTCCAGCAGTCCTGTACTTAGACCTCGGCGGCGGTGGGCTGTTTTCTCGGCTGAAGGCTTGACCAAGCTGTCAGTAAGATTAGCATTACGGGCCGTCGGTGGGAGTGCAATCCTGCCCACAGGGGGGCAGCCATTTGAAACACCCTAAATCCCCACTACTGAGCGTGTACGCACACACACACACACACACACGTGCACACAAGTACAGCCCCCCCGCCGAAGAATGGAAAGGCTAGATCAGGCCAACTCATGGGAGCCTCTTTTCAGATGAATCCCTCCTTTGGGAGGCTGCTGCGTCCTCCATGCCCTTCATGCACACAAACTCACTCCCAAACACACACACACACACTAATATGTACATACACGTCCTGTCAACGGGAGCGGGGGAAAAAATTGCCGTCGTAGGCTATCCAGTCACTTGGGTCACTGATTCTAGTCGTAGAGGGCATTTAGTGCTTTTAAGTAATGGAATTATTATTGTTTGATTTGTTATGATTGATTGTAGTTATGTTTTCCTGAAGAAGCCTTTTAACATTGTGAGATCCTTAAGAGACATAAAAAAGGCAGGCATGAACATTGTTTAAGGTTGGGAACACCTGGAACTGGGGCCAGTCGCCTCCTCATTCAAATTCACATTATTCACATTATTTATCTCTGGCATCACAATATTGAACTCCAGTCTCCGTTTGTCATAGTTGCAGTTTCTGATATCCTAATTTGATTTTTTTTTTGTCAAAACACTCCCTTCGATTCTAAGCAAATAAAAATATCTTAGATCATCAATGGTTCCAGTGCCTCCAGACCAGATTGATCCATTCTATTGATGCTTCAAACATGCGTTTCAGAGGCTGTAACAACTTATAGAAGAGTAGAGCATGTCCTCAGTCAGAAAAGATGCAATGATACACATCATTCTGCTCCTGTCATTCTTATACAACCCAGGAAATGTTTTATTTTTATTTTCATTCAAGACCAATATTCTTATTCTGAGAGAGACAAACTGAGAAGATCGAATACATGGGAATGTTAATGGAATTAATGCGTTTTAGGAAATCAGACATTTAATTAAAATGGTCGATACTAGTGCTTTTGGTAGAATTTAATTTCTGACCTAGAAAATGAGCAAAAATGGTAATTAATTAATTTTACATGCTAGGCCTTCATTTTCCCCCCTTTTTATGTCTCTGGCTTCTCCATCTCACTCAATTCTGGTTTCCAAAAAAAAACTTCACATTTAGTACTCCTCTGATTTTAGGACAAAAGCACAAAAAATTCTGTTCAGGCTTGTATGTTGAATTAATCGTGGATTCCCTCACTGTATTCTTGATTACTGTTATCTACTAATGACACAAAGTGAAGCTCTTTAATGCTATTATCCCAATCCTCTGGAGTGTTTTAGTGGGAGATTACTTGGAAGAAAAAAAGGTGCCCCCGCTCGCATTTGAAGGAGTAAGAGGCTGACATTTTGACCTGGTTGAAGCAACCCAAGCCAGCAAAGCTGTGATTACCCAATTAAGGACTTCTGCTGAAACCGCCATGTCACACATACTCTGAGGTATTTAGCATGTTGGAGTGTCCTCAGCATCACAACTTGACATGTATCTGGTCTTGCTAACTTGATATTATCCTTTGTCAGCCGGTTTTCAGGTCATTCATCCAATTTTTGTTTAAATTATACTGCTAAAGCTCGTCAGACATAACAAGCGAGCCTGTCCTGTTTGCGACGTTAGAGCCGAGCTTCAGCTCATGTCTCTCAGAAGCTCCTCAACACTTAGCGACATATTCTAAACTGGTTAAATCTGCACTTCTCTATGAACTGCAAGGACTTCATCTCTTTTATGATGACGATACCACCGACCTAGACATGTCTTCAAAAAGTGATCTCTGGATAGAAAAGTCCACCTGGGAGACAAAGTGCATCATTGATGATCGTGTTGAGATTATTTGACTAGTATTTGTGCTTTGAGTGTCTCAATTCTATTCATTGTTTGAGTGTTTTTATCAAATAACCGCCTTTGGCACCCTTGTTGATCTTCTAGATGTTAGGGTTTTTACACTTAGTTACCCTAGGGCAATATGTGTATAAGCAAAGATATATACCCCAAAACATCCCTCCTGTGACTTTACTCTGCTCATTGTTTTGCTTATTAACTGTGAAAATATGAACCAATTTTTTTAAAAAGGGTTTGGTGACTACACTGCAAATTTACGTGCATTTTTATGTAAGTCGGTCTCCCCTTCCTGAGAAACGGCAGACTTTTCCTCCTGCAGCCACATAATTCCTTGTGATTGGGACAATGTTTTGTTTGACCCTTTTCTTCTGACCAAACTATTTTGGGAACAAACCTACACAGATGCATAAGCCTTAACACAATTAGTTCGCGCTGAATGTGTGCAGAAGTCATCACTAATGCATGTCATCCTATTGGGCATCTGAAGGGAGGTGAGGGTACACTGGAGCCATTCTAATCTGGCTCCAGAGCTTCTCTTTCTCCGCTTTTTTCAGTAGTTTTCAAGTATGTTGGACGATGATAATCAGCTTTATTTATGGCCCAGTGCTCTGTGTGGAAACAGAGTAGAGGAAGACGGTGACCTCTGGTACTCCACTATCATCACTTGTTTTTGGAAACACTGTGAAGTGGGGTGAGTAGGGCCGTCTCTTAAATCACTGTGATATGCGTCTTTCTGACTCCTGACAAAATTGAATGCAAAGATATCCATGTATAAGCATCACAAATCGACTCCTCTCCCCTCTGCCTCTATCATCCTCCCCCTAGCCCGTTCTCTCTCATTTTAAGCCCTCATTTAGATTCTTATGAAACATGCAGGCACACTACTACACACACACACGCACACACAACCCACAAACATGATCTAAATCTTCCCTTTGTAGTTTGTAGTCATCTCCCTAGCATTCCCTATGCATTCTCCATTCTGCTCTGCCAATTTCCAGCTCGATTATCTGTTTCATGTCCTCTACTGTGTTTATAGCAATTTAATTATTAGGTTTATAGAGATAAGAAACTGTTTGTCCCCGGCTTATGGTGTTAGATTAGAAGGTCGCACACCTTCATTTCAGAGACCCCTACTAATTATGGAAAGTTCATTGTCAATCAGTTCAGCTGGCAGAGGTGCTTGATGGTCACTCTCATTAAAATGTTGCTCCCCCTTAATCTCCAGAGATGCTCCAGAGATGGAGATTAATCAACCTGCCTTGTAGCTTTACATTGAGGAGAAGTGGCCAGTGGGTAGTGAAGGCAGAGACAGATTTAGCTGCTCTGTGCCAGATCTTTCCGCTTTCAGCATACCGTGTAATCGGATGATTCTAGTTACATAAACATGTTGAGCATAGCCTTCCACTTTCCCCACTTTTTGCAATTTGACCTGCTAATTTTGCGCAGACAAGGGATTTTGTGCCTGATGGCACGTTTATGCGATGTGGCCTGACTTAGTCATCATATAGGGAGTGATTTGGTGGTTTGACTTCCACCTAAAATAAAACTAACCCTAAATACAGGGCAAGACGCTCTTTTCATTTCCCGGCTAAACGTTTGTGTATTGAAGGATTTAATGGTGAGCGGTATGAACAGATCAGATACAATTACTCCATGAAATAGGGCAAAATGTATCCGCTCAACACTCTTTCTAGTTAGTCCCTTTACTTAAGGGTTTCTTTAAGCAGTTATGTTACTGAAAACTGTGGAACCTGATGGACCGTCCCTGGCACTGCAGACTGGTGCAGTGAGCTGCGATCGTGAACTAAAATCAGGTGCTCTCACTGATCTTGAATCAGCTCTCCCCCTCTCAGACGTTGGACAGGCTCCAGCATTCTTTCCGTCCCCGGCCACTTGTGGCTTTCTCTGAGAGTAAATAAAGATTTACTGTTGCATCGTGGCGTTTGCAAATCCCACGGCTGAATTCCTCAGCTGACAAGAGAGGAAACCAATCCTTAGAAAAGCCCAACAAAGACAAACTTTCATAGGCCGAGCAGCCCAAGCATCCTGGGAAAATGCCGGCAGCCCACTCCCATCTCCCCGCAGTATTCTACAGATGTGCGTGACGAAAGATTTCATTTTCAAAGAAAAACTTTTATTCTGCAAGTTTGTTTGTGTGTTTGGTTTTCAGTAGAACTCCATGAACCACTTTGAATGTGCCTGTGTGAAGAAATGAGATTGTGGTGATGATGATTGCCCTTAAATGGGTCCAGATAATGAAGCAGCGCCTTTATGTTTACATTTTATCACAGTCTGAGTGACTTCATTAGCTCACCCCATACACATTCTCTTTTGAATAGAGAGTGGATTGGTTAAAGGCTATTTTCTTTGTGATATTCTTTGATATTCCAACAGATTTCAATACATTTTTATACCTCTCTACTGCTCCAGGCAGTAGGGGGAAAATGCTCTTTGCTCAACCTTAACAGTAGTTTTTTTTTCTGTATATAATATATTTTATCAATTCTGTTTTATAAATGATTCATTAAAATAATTTAATAAGCCATTCTAAATGCAATTTGTCAAAAATAAGCTTAAAACAGACTATAAGAAATAAGTTATTTCGCAGTTTCACTTTCTAAAGCCGGCTTAACAAGTTAATTACTAAGTAAATTTATATTAAGAACTTACATTTACTGTTTTTATCCACTCAGATGGAGTCATTAACAACTGTTTTGTATGTTGTGATGAGCCAGTATTAACTGAATCGGCCAGAACACCTAGCAAGAGGGATCAGTGCCTAGAAAGAGCATTTTATTGACATGGTATCAGTTTAGCAAATCTTCTAAAGCACACAACCTTGTAGGTGGTTTGGAAGAGACAGTTTCAAGTCACATTGAGCTTCTCTAAAGTAGAATTACTGCATGTGGGAGGAAGTAATTCAAACCTTGGAGCTTAACTACAGTATAGCACATTCATTACTCCCTCAAATACACCCAGCGGACCATTCTGCTCACCAAAACATGTGACATTCCTGTTGAAATATAAACGCACTTTACGCTTTACTCTGACCTCTTTTTTTACCCAAAGCAGTAACATTATTCTTTAGATCCAACCTGGAATTAAAAAAAAATCACAAAAGATCTAGTGATCGTCTGTTTTTACCCTCAGAATGCATAGAGCCGTACCTCCCTTTCCTGGGAAAAAAAGTTTCTGTGAACACGACAAAATAAATACAGAAAATGAATGAATTCGTGACTGCACAAGAAACAGCTTCTGTGTCTTTGTGCATGCCCTTGCCAGTTCCACTACAGAGAATGTTTTTTTTACCATGTGCTGTCTTTGAAACAAATACTAAAAAGACTCAACAAAAAAGTGTGAAATTCATGTCAAACACTTGTCAAGGTCAATCAGCCTGCGTGGATAATGACAGATTTGTCTCCATGTTTGTGCTTCTCCGGTAAGAGCTGGAGCGTATTCACGTCTTCCTGCTGCATCTAAAATTTAGATGCACTGCTCAGATAAAGTTTAGAAGCACCTCGTCACAAGCCTCCGGTTTGTGGCAGTGAGGGCTTGAAGCCTGTTCTGCTCTGCCGAGCTACTGATAAACCTGACTTAGGTTACTTTCACTGAGATGGAGGCGGATTCTTTTATCTGTCACATGGAACCCAGCTTAGGTGCAAATAATTAATGTCATTTATGAAATCTCTTTCAAGAAGCCTTGAAGGACTGCCCGGAAAGAAAAACAGAAGAACATGAAACAGCTTGGAGCTTGCAATGAAATAAGAAAAAAACTCTGGCATGGTAAAGGGCTTTTTTTGTCATAGGTAATGAGAATGTAATGTTATTTCTCTCTCTGAGCACAGATCTGTCTGTGTTTTGGGTTTTAGGCTAGTAAGAGGGGCAAGTATCAGGAAATTAACTTGTTGGCTGCTCAGAATCTTCAATCCCGCTCATTGAACACAATAATTAGGCAAATGAGTTTTGCTGATAGGAGTGCTTGTTTATTCACCGTGACTGGTTTACAGCAGTATGTTGTACACATCCAGTAGATATCCGCTGGTTACAAAACCAGGGAAGAAACTGGAGCTTTAAAAATGCTACGTCAGACTGTGAGGAGCAATTGTTTTTGACCTAACAAGTCCACTCTTCTTCCTGAATATACATATCACAGCAAATAGGTATAATGCGATCACCTTTATGTGGTGGTCAGTTGTCCCAGCTCTCTTTTCGAAGAACAGTGCCCAGATCCCCGAAACATAAAGGGTCAATGACTGACCTTGGTAAGTTAAAAAACTGCTCGTTTCACATTGGTAACCTGTGGGATAATCAACATCCACAGAATTATCAGGTTTTCCAACTGAACGGTTTCATGTAATAAGATCTTTTTTTTGTATTCTCATAAGTGTGGCTGAAGCGTCCTGGTAGATTGGTGTAAAAACACGACTAAATGTCGGCTAAATCCACAATAGAACTGAAAGGTTCAAGGAAACTAATGATAGAGTCCGAAGAAAATGTTTAATTTAAAGTGAAAACAACTAATTTAGGTCGTGGAGTGTGTGTGACAAAGTTGAGTTGAGAACACGATGAAGTTGGATTCAGCCAATGGGGAAATAGCAGAAAATAAACAGATGAAGAAAGAAACACAAATGACCAGGAACAACACTAATGGGTGGATGTTGGGAGGATGAGACAGTTCTACTCATTAGCTGCCCCCGATAGTCCCAGGGATCTTTATTGATGTTACAACGTACTGATAGATAAGAAAAGCTGCAACCTTTCTGCTCTAAAGAGGAAGCCGCCTCATTATAGACGTTTGCAGGATGCAACTGCCATCTGTGCTGTATTGATTTCAACAACAGCAGCGGCTCTCATTGCTCGGCTATTCAATACTGCAGAGAAACCGAGAAACGGAGCGCGTCTCGTCTCCACGTTACACTCCTTCAGACTGCGTCTGTTTGTGAATTTTGTGATTACAGACTTTTCTGGGCCCTGGCCCTGTGGTGGACCAGCAACTTCTCCATGGTGCCCCCCCCCCCACCCCATTCCTCACTCAATGACAGGTTGGATAGGCTTAAGCTACGCTGCGACCCTGAAATGGAAAAAGATAAAAGATATGGAAAATGGGTGGATATAGCCCTGCTTACTTGTTTGTGAGCGGCTACAGGCTGAGATGAATTTCTCTCACCGAATGTGCGCTGTGTCGATAATTAAAATAATCCGGTAGGATTTATGTTTAGAAATAATTCATTTTCCATGGTGTCCTCTATAGATAACAACCTTTCTTAGTTTTAATTAGAGCATAAAAGATTGAAATTAGACTTTCTTTTGCACACGGGGGAACAACTAATTATGCGTATATATACATATATATTGCAGGTTATTTACTTTGGGGCTGATAACAGGTCACAATCTACTTTTCCACACTGTGAGATGACCTCATGTAACAAACAGCAGGCAAATGTATTCATATAGAGTTCATATTCCTTCTGAGGATTTTCTTAGTTTAGCGTCTAATTTGGATGAGGTTTCAGACAGAGAGACTTAAAGATTTTCCAATAAACCCAGAACAAATTATCTTTTTAATTATCATAACCACTTACAGATCACATCATAAGTCATAATCACTTATTTAAAGATTGTATGATTTAGCTCATAATTTGTTGCATCATTTTAGTTATGTGTTGTGAATTATTTATGTGAATATGTTGCTCAGTTGCTGTCTAATGAGGTGGAACTCTCATGGCTCTACCTCTCTAAATTTATTAGCACTGCCCTGGGGCCCTTTTTCGCCACTTGCTCCACACTTCTTTAATGCGTAACTCTGTATTGCATATGCAGTTTTAGTGAATTTTGACATAACATTTGAATCAGTGGGGACTATGAAAATTTGAAATGATAGCATCATTAAGAGGGCTTTTCATGACCCCGGTTTAAAACTCGAAGCTTCGATTGTAAGTGTTTTTTCAGTTGACACTAGATGGCACTGTGGATGTATAATCCCTGGAAAGTCTTATCACCTTCCTCATCCTGTTGCCTACACACAAAGAGACATTCTGAAAAGGATTGTGTGGTGTCACGCTCATGAGATAATTAGAAAACATATTCACACATTCTGTGAAGAGCAACTGGATTGTTTAGCCATGTATTTGTGCTCTCATGTGAGTGTGTGCGCATGCTGTTTGTTTTGAATCTGAAACCTTTATTGTAAAATCTCAGTCGCTCACAACATGTAATGTTATAGGTATTTAGTCCTAATAAAGCTCAGGTATCACCACGTGCCCTTTGGAGCCCCCCTGGAATCATTGAATGTATTAAGATTTGGGCTTTATGTCCATTTGTGTATGGTGCAGCGGATTAGAGTAAGGGAGGTTTGTGGGAGGGGATGCCACGTGAATTGCAGGGGCATGAATCGGTGCACATTTTTGTGTATAGGTGAGTGCTCACAATCCTTTTTTAACTGAGTGTTTGCCAGCTCAGAGTTCTGCCTCTTAAATGTGCATTTTATGTCATGCGCTTAATCTGTTCCGTGTTTGGGATTAGCCTTCCCATCCACAGAGAAGATGATCTCTTCTCTCCTTGCCACATCAAGTCAAATTTCCCCTCCATGTATTTAAATTCTCTTTCTACAGTTTTCCTCCTCGTCTTTTGTATGAAAATGTGTTTTTTTTTTCCCCTAATGCTCTCGTCATTCACTTTCCCTTCTCTGCTTCCATTTTCTCCTTTTCCCTTCCGTCTCTTTTCTCATCTCTCCCATATGGCTTCTTTCAGTAATAATCAATTTGATCTAGTGAGCTCTGCTCTGGTGCAACTATTCATAGATAAAAAAAAATCCAAAACTTATTAAAGCAATAAAAAAAAAACTATATGCAAACTTTTGTGACTGGGACCTTTATCTGAGTTTTGTGTTTGGTTGTTTTGCACCCAAGTTAGCATCATGTGACCTGTGATTCTGGACTAATTCTCATCATTAGCTCCAGGTTATTGGACATTTTATTTAATGATAAAGAAACAATTGGTACTAATTATGTTGTGAAATTCTCTGTCTCAAGTGCTTTGAGAATTAAACATTTGAAATTGAAGAAATTTGGTCAAATACTCAGAGCAATATCTCATATTGAAGCTCCACAAACTTCCTCAGGCCAAAAGCATAATTCTCTTTTTTTCCAAAGTAATAGAAATGGTTGGAATTGTTGAAGCAGTGTGAAAAGAAATCTTCAAAGAATAGATAACAGGGAAAATTGCTAAATTTGTTAAGGCCGATCTGCCGTCTCCCCAGTCTCAAATAACAATTTTAAGCTTTTCTACGCTCAGCCAAACAAACAGGAGGAGACCATATCCCTATATGTTCCCTTAACACAGGGGCAGCTGAATTAAACAGTTGGCATGCATATGAAAACATGCTCCTGGTCATGTCTTGTATTAAAGATCAAGAGCAGACAGCGGGACCCTAAGTATTTTCAGGTCGGCTGGCCAGATAGTGTCCCTCTTTGGTTCTCCCTCCAATTTTCTACTGTTAGATACAAGGCTGTGCAAGTTTACACACACATTTATGGTGGCCACAGTGCTGCTTTGTAAAGCTGTCTCCATTAACCATTCATCATGTATCGACTTACTGGTCTAATATGCATTATGTTACTGTGTAGAGCTGTCATTCCATACAGGACACTTAGTGGATGAATGAATGGTTTTACTTGCAGCTCGGGGAAGTGTTTGTGATTTAGTACAACCTGAAACGCGGAGCAATCAGTGAAGTGCTACAGTGCTGTTGCATTTAAATGAAATGAGTTGCTGGTTGTCCTCATGATCGCTAACCTGACAACAGACTCGGGTCAAAAGTCCACCTGTCCTATGTGTTGCTTAAGGTTCGCTTCTGTGCTGGCTAACCTTCCACCGCTCTCCTCAGTTGTTGGGAATCGCCTTTTTGTGACCTTTTTTTTTTCAGACAAAACTAACAGATCAATCACAGAGAAAGCTCTATTAGCTTTAAACAAGCACACTGCTCAGCTCCAATGTTTATTCGCACTAATTAGAACACTTCATTGTCAAGAGAGTTGCCTGGCAGTGTGTGCATGTATGTGAGCCGGGGCGTGCACGTGTGTGTGTGTGTGTGTGTGTGTGAGTGTACTGATGGAGCTCAGCAAGCTCACAACAAGACCACTAGACCTGATGCAACAAAACAAAGACGGCTTAGCCTCTCTTCAGAAGCAGGAAAACGGCTGGTTTAGTGTAGCCAGTGATAACTGGCAACAAGCAGCTTTAAACTGACTATTGTGACAGATGTTTGATGGTGAAAGGATTTAAAAGATGTCGAAGAGACGACGGCTTCTAACAGCTGAACTCCTCTCCGCGACTTAGAGTTTATTTGTCAACCGAGTGATATTTAAGGATGACAGAACTGGGAAAAACCTTTAAGAAAATGTTTGGCATGACAGTTTGATTAGCTTGAAAACCTAACAGCTATGGAAAGCATTTGTGAGGAAATCCAAGGAGTCAAGACCTTACAAAGCTAACCAAAGAAATACTCTAAATAGGGTCTGCCACTTTGACTGCATTTTCTTAACTTGGATCAGGTTATATTTGGACAGGTACATATCCAAGGGAGGCAGGAGTGCTGGACCCTGCAGTTGGATGTTGGATTGTCTCAATCCTGGCACTGCTTGACTCTTTTCAGGTGAGTCAATGCACAAGGGATTGAGGCCTCTGAAGCCCTTTTTCGAATTTAATTGTAGCCAACAGCAGAAAATTAAAGCAGAGTAAAGTGAATAAAACAGTTGATACGTCAAAGTAAGGATGTTGACAAAAGGCTGAATTGACTCCTGATCGGTTTCATAGAAACATGAAAGATCCCTCACATAGATGATGCATTTTGTGCAGGAGGATGACTCCTACGGGGGTTAATGCTGTATCTTTTGAGGGATATTTATGTAATCGAGAGTTTGAATGGACGCAAAATGCTGCAGTTGCTTTGGGGAACATAATGTTGGCATGAATCACTCATCTGACTATGCTCTGAAACATGTCATGTGGAATTTGTGGGAATCATCCCATCTGCAACTTGTGCGTGGTGTGGTCCAAATAAGGCAATGTTCACGTCAAGAATCAACTGGCTCTGAGTATGCAAGTCACAGTGGCACAGTTTTCACTTTAGTTAGTTGCACTGAACTGGAGTTAATCATTCTTCTGGCTCTCAAGGGATATCAGTAGTTTGATCATGAACCAATCTCTAAAGTCCAGGTGCTCACAATTTGAGATTAGACTCTGTGCTCAAATCTTTGTTTTGGACGTAGAGCGATGATACCTGCCCACAAACTGCATTTAGGCCCTAAGAAGTAGGAAAATTGATTAATTTTCAGTTCATGTCATAGCTAAGCATTCATAATAATAGAATATATTATACAACATTTGTGATAAGATTAAGTCATTCAAAAGGTGCTTTGATCTGTGTACGTTTTCAATTGTTTTTTTATGTCCTTCTGTTTTTTTTATTTTCTTGAAGTCTACCCTAATCAGCACCTTCCAAACTAAGAGTAGTATTCTTGATTACTTTAACTTAATCAGTTCTTCAGGAGCTCAGGGCCACCAGTTAGTTACCATCTTTTCTCAGAAAGCTTTAGCTTTAAGAAATCCGAGTCAATTTTGCCAGAAAGCATTGCATTATGGTGACGGCAAATGAAGCGTTGACAGGTTTATACTAATGGAGAATAATGGCCTCAGCATTTGAGAAAGTGGCACAGTAAACACAGTTCAGTCGGTCATTTAAAGTACTCAACTTTAAGTGGGCAAATGCTTCTTGGTGTACACTGTATGCATGACACAAAAACATAGATTTTGCACCAGCATGGATCATGAACTGAATATTGTAGGCATGCCTTATTTAGTTGCGTGCAGTGAGGAACTGCTCCTTTTGATGGATGTGATGTAGAGAAGTCTCTTTCCATCGTACACATTCACAGGATGCTCACGTAGATTCATTGAGCCTAAGTGTAACCGGAGTGTCGGAACGTGTTGTAGTTGTGGTAATTGCTTTTTCGAAAGGTCTTTTGATAGTGGATGTAAGTTCTCGTGCTTGGGGTGTTTGGCTTCTCTCCTCAGGCTTCTAAGAAGGACAGTCCACTTATTCATGTACGTTCCCAGAGCCCCAGCAGCCCAGCTCCCCAACTGTCCCTCAAAGACCATGGAACAAAGGCTATATTCTGTCACAGGAGAATGGAGCGGGGGGGAATTTAAGCGTGTGAGTGAGTAAGAGTACATTAAATTCAAAGTGTGGAGAATCTTTGTGCACGCATCCAGTTGAATGGCTCTTGTGTGAATGCCAATTTTTGTTTGTGTGCTCGTGCGTGTGTATTTCTGTAATATGTGACATTCCCTAACTCAGGGGAAAATACCCTCTAGATATTCTGCCGCACTGTTCTCTGTAAAACTTTGTTCTGCACAAAGGGCCTTTTTCATGCTCGGCTCTTTAGAAGCTTATACATCAAAAAAATGGGACTAGGTGAGTAGAGGTTTGCATTGTGACGGATTCGCTTGGGGCTTTTTGTCCTTGGTTTGACTCATGGGAACTAGGTCCTGCTGTGACTTCAGAGTCTCATGTTCCTAGCTTAAGTCATGCTGTATCCTTAATTCCCACATTATGAACAGTGGCATAAGTCTGAAGTCATTGCAGGGCATCTTGGTGTCACTTTTGATTGTATCACGTCCCTAAAGAACTATTTACTTTGCACCTTTCCTCAAAGCAGTCCTTTAAGTAACCCTCTCTTTTGGTGGACCAGTGGGTAGGACTACCTGAGGAAAGGCAACACATTCATCTGGGTACAGCCTATAAAGTCAATAGCTAAAGTCAAAAGCTTTTGTGGGGGTATATTTTTTTGCTTATGGATATTACATCATTTATTTATTGTACATGGGAGCACCTCAGAACAAATGCAGAATTCAGCCAATAAATACAGTTTGAGATATATGCCCAATAAGTTCATAAATTTGTTCAACAGTATGTTATCAAGAAGAAATATTATTGTCAATGCTTCTGTCTAAGCAAACTGTCTCTATATGTCTCTAAATAATCCTCGTCGGTTGACCCCAGCTGTATTCTTTTGAAGGCATCAGCTGATGCAATCTCATAATCTATATCTATCTGATCTGAGGTCATCAAATATTGCCATAGGATTAGCGCAAGAACGCGGTCATGTCCAGCTCAGGCTGTGTGTGTTTTCTCATGCTTGCTGATTGGGAAAACAACACGCACATACACACACACACAAAATCAATCAAATGCAAGCTCATCTACCAAAGTAACATGTTTTTGTTTTCATACATCGTGCTTAAAATTGACCTCTGTCTGTTCCAAGAAAGAAAGACAGATTTAAGGCTAGCGCTTAAACGGTACTTGTGGCAGCCTCAGAGACTGTTTCATATGCTAGTGATAAATAAATAATCTGTTTCAGTAATCAAATTAAATATTTCGACCAGTTGGATTTCCCACACCACCATTGGTTCTTCTGGGTCAGTTTCAGTTTAATATCTGGGAATACATTTGACAGAATTTCAGTTTAAAGTAGGTTTTTCCCGGTTTACGACCATTTTTAAGGTACACACATTTTTCAGCCTCATTATGGATCCACATGGGGGTTTTTTTCTTAGTTTTTTTTCATGAAATTCTATTTCATTGCATTTTTTTTATTTGGCAAATCGGAACCTTTTTATCTGCTCACCGGCAGACATGAAATTAACTTTTTATTATTAAGGCAATGAAGTCATCAATCTTAGAACTATTACTGATTGAAGTTTATTATATGGCGTCTTTGTGCTTGCATGCTGTTTGGCAGCAGTGCACCCTCTCCATCTTTCATTTTTCTGCCTCTCGTGTTTAGTATCTACACTGGGTTATGTAAATAAGTGCCCCTCGGGACTCCGCATCCCAATAATTCTTCTGGCTGTTGAAATGAGTTGTTTGAAAAGCTGTCATGTTCTGAAGGAAGGGGAGACACATCAGTCCCTCCACCCCTGCACTGACGAGAAGTTGGGGAATTTTTCAAGGACACACAGAGCAGCATTCATATTCATGTGTTGCCATCAAATGTAAAACGTTACCCAAAGGATTGTGGCAGCAGAAACATTTACTTTGACTTTATGCTTTGGCATCTTTTATAGCAGATTAGTTTGTCTGGTTGTACAGAAAGAGGAACGTTAAAGCCAGTGTGGCAGTAATGTCATGGGCTCATCCATGTCTCTGCACACCGGAGCACAAACTTGTGAAACTTTGTTGTTTATGGTTTTTAATGATGCTACAACTGTTGAATTCAAGGTGATGATACATTATTTAGTAGTTGCTCTTCTCTGCATCTTTCTTTGTGACACAAAAAGCAAATGCCTTGCTCATTTTTTTTGCAACAAATCGATGACAATATGGGCGATCAAAGAGCAGGTCACAAGCTAAGAAGAATGTCAGGCTACAACTAAAATATTTAGATGCCGTAGAGTAAAGCAACACTGTGAGATCTGAACAAAAATGGGCTCTGCAGGAAGCACTGCGGGAAAACCATCGAGGCAGAAGAATAAGATTACTCCCACTCAGCAACCTCCTGCTCCCTGTTATGTGTTTGATGTGCTCTGTTTAAATACAAAGGCTTTTTATCCTGACAACTTTCAACATATTTCTGTCCTCTAATACCTCTCCTCATCTTTTGTCACCTTCTCTTCCATCAATCCTGAGGTCCTCTGAGCTGAAACATCATAACCAGTAATTGTACATAGCTTCAAGTTTGGTTTTTTGTTGTTTTTTTAATCTTTCCAATTCAGACCGAGTGTTTTCCACATCAAAAAGGGAAGCCATTTACAGTAGATGGTCTTAATTAATGAGAAGCCTGTTGATAACGTGGTAGAACTGAGCTAGTGTCAGCCTGCTGCACTCAGGAAACGCTGTGATACCTGTCAGTAGGGCTGATTTCACTCAACTTGATTAGAAACAATACATTGGAAAGCCTTTACTGAATTTAACAGATATTACCATGTAAAGAGGTTTCAAAGATTAACCTTTGAAACATCAACCTCTCCAACTTGTGCTCACAAGACTGAGGAGAGGATGAATAAAACTGGATTATGTTTTGTAAATCGTCTGGTGAGTGTGCAGACAAATGATGGCACTCATGGATCAGCTATCATTGTTCTGCCTACAGAATAACCCTGAAGGCATGAAGCACATATCAGCCCGTCTATGTAAATAGTTTGAATGTTTTGAGCTGACTGTTTTCTTCTTGCGTTCAAAATAGTGGCAGCATCAGCAAAATTTCCATGGAGTAGTCATGGATACAATGTGTTTGGCCAGAAGTGATGTGCAGATAGAGCAGAAGACTGGATCGCATTAAAACAGAGACTTTTAAATCCCCTCTATGTCTAGACCCTGTGAAGACCCAGAGTTTATGATCCATGTTTTAGGGGTGGTTTTAATTGGTCTCATCATAACCAGCATCAACCGAACAGCAGAATAAACCGATCTGAAGCTTTCTCATCGACAGCAAGCCCAAAAAAATCAGTTTCTTCGAACGTTCCAACAGAAATCTGCTGTTTTTGTGTGTCGCTGGCTGCCTTTAAGGAGAGAAATGCTACGGCATCTCCATCACTCAGCATCACAGTTGAAATTGGACTCATTTGATAAGCGCTTTCATAAATCGAGCCTTCATTCAGAAGGTGATGAATTCAATTCTGCTCCTCGGTAATGACGCCCCAGAGAGAGTTTTAGCACATATCGCTGCTGCCGGGGCGGGCCGCATTGTTGCTGTCAGACTGGATGAATGATTAAAGCAGGCAAAATATGCACTTTCTGCAACGAGGTAAATACAGTCCCATGTTTGTGCAACCTGATTGTTCCTCTGCTGTGTCTGTGGAGCGAGTTGCTGACGATACGATCTGTTGCTTGTGTTATTATCTCTTTGTTGGAGGATCTGTGAGATGAACAAGGGGGCTCATGCTTACAGGCGGTGTTGGTACATTTGCCCATGCAGAAACTTGTGATATTCCAACAGATTTGCTTGAGGACCTGATACCGGAATAGTTCATGCTTTATAGAGCTAATTCCACATTAAAGCAGGGCGTCCAACCGCCCGCTCAAGGTCAGACTGCTGCAAGACAGAATAACAAATAGACTAGAAGATGTTCTCACTAGTTTACTCAAAGCTAAACTGGTAGTAGTGCTCCCCAAATTTAAATCAAGGCTGTCTGTCAGTGTCATGTGTCATGCGTTCAGAAAATGGATTCCCTCAGTGTCATGGGGTTTATACAGTTCTGCTTCTGAGTACGATCGTCTTTCTGATTGTCTCTGAGCCAGCTTTTTAAAGTCGGAGCGTCTTCGTTAAAAGGCTAGACCTGTCCTCGGAGTGCAGGTGCTCCAGAGAGCCACTGCGCCAATAATTAAAGAGCATCCTACTGTGGAAAGAAGTCGACAGTCATTAAGAGGAGAGGTTCGGCCTCTGTGAGCACTCCCCAAACAGCCCGGCCATAGATAGCGCCACACTGCCGATGAAGCTGGCTGTTAGCACCGTCTCAGTTTATCAAACCGTTTAATCCCCATTTGTAATTTGATTAAACACAAATGTCAAAGAGGGTGCCATGTGTGTGCCGGCGGCTCGCTCGTACCCATTACGTTTCCAGAAGTGCAGGCGATGAGATGCTGAACAATCAGCAACCAGTGCAGCCACAGCTGTCGGCCAGCCCATTTTCTCATCTATACCCTGATACATGATCTACGAATATCCCATAAACATCTCTCAAGTTGCAAAAAAAAGGGGGTTGCGGGGGGTGCTTTGTAGGCTTGTGATTTAGTCTCTGTGAGTCATTCATCAATGTGAATGAATTAGCAACAATCCTTTTTTTTTTTCACCAGTGTCTAATTTGAAAGCTCGATGCCGTCAGTGGCCTTTGCCGCTATTATTATTCATGCGTTGTTGAAAAGACAGAAGGGAAAATGATATGTGCCAGTTTTCTTCTTGAGTTTCAACATTGTCTTCCAGCTGACCTCATCTGCAGTTCAAAGGAGGCCTACCCAGTGTTGGTCTCAGACCTGTAAAGCCACCTGAAATACAGGGGACAAGGGAGTCCTGTTTCGCCTGTAAATATGGGTAAATATGGTCTGTGAGCAGTTGCTTATAGAGCGTAACCCAAGAACGAACAAACTTTGTCAAACTGCAAAGCAATGCAGCAAAACTCAACCTATTCACTTTGAAAGTACAAGTAAGGGAATTATAAAGCTGCACTGCACAATCCTGCCAAACAAGGACAGTTCAGGCTGCGCTATGTTGCGGTTTACCTCATCGTGGGAAAAATCCTGGTGAGGAACGCACGCGCTCGTCTCTGTCCTTTCATTAATGAGGTCATTTCAGGAGGTGCATTACCTGAAAAATGCAATTGGCATGAACCAAACCATTTCAAGCTAGGCTCACACCAGAAAAACTCAAACAGAAGATTAGATTTTTCATTTCACTTGCTCGTGGACAAAGAAAAACAGTCTCCTCATATTCCACAAAACTGACACCATCACCAGCTTTTGGTCTGGTAAGTTCTTGGCAGTTAATTTACTCCAGCTATTAAAAAACTGAAATATTTCCCCTCCGTAGCATCAGCCATAGCCTTTGCTCAGGCAGGATAATTGAAAAGGCTGAACCACTCATCACTCTTGTTCTTGAATTTTAATTTTTCATTTCCAGCCAAATTGTGTCTGTGAAATTCAGATCTCATTAGCCAAGAGACGAGTGGTCAACTAAATAAAAACTCATATCTAAGTCACAATCAGGACTTAACTGACAGGATGACATGGTCTAACTTGACCTGCAAAGCAAGTGTCACCTGTCTCTTGTCATGTTTCTCTTAACCTCTCACAACTAAGATGTAAAAAATGTAAACATGGCTGATCTAATGGGTTCCAAAAGGTAGGTGGACTCGAGCCATTCATTTTTTGCTATTTGTTTATTCTGTGTAGGCCAAACTTTGTGACAATTTTAAGGATTTTGCCTGTGGAGCATGTGCTTTGCTGATTGCATTATTCAACCGCAAACCAGCTGAAATAAAGATGCCACTGCGTGACATTTTTTGGAAGTGTATATGTCTTCATTTACTTTGAGGGCTTCTGTTTGCAGGTGGCAGTGGTGACCTACTTACTGTACAACAGTAACCTCACACTGGCTCCCCTCGTCTGGAACTCCTGGTTTGGAAGTGAGACTGACAACAATGTCATAAAATGTGAGAGCAGGCATCAATGGGTTGGGTTCAGTCCCCTGGTGAGCGTCTCACTCTGTGCTGACCCCTTGTGAGCGTCTCACTCTGTGCTGACCCGCCCATCCCAATGCTGGGGTGTGCTTGTGTGATTCTTGAAAAAAGGAAACCTTCTGCACTTTCTATTGAAAACCTCCATTGTGCCTTAGCGTTAGGGAATCTTGTAGAAGTGGAACAAGACATTAAGAATTCCCCACATTTTGTGTCTGTTATCCACATCTCAGCAGGGATAGTTTAGAGCATCTGCGAGCTGAGCTGTGAAACCTAAATTTAAACTAAGGCCAATCATTCTCTGTCTCTTTCCAGAGTGGATCCCCCCCCCTTTTTTTTATACTTCTATGTTCGTGTCCTTCTGATTACCTTCCTTTCTGAAAAATGATTGTTGGCCAATACCCTCATTTTTAAAAGCAAAATTTGAAAATGTAAGGGAAAGAGGAAGAGAGAGGCAAATGGAAAATTGTAGATGCGAGAGAGAAAGGAAGTCATGCTGTTATGCTGTTGACACGCTGATGACAAACCTGTTTCCAAGGGAAACTTTCCCATTAAGTGAGAGGGACTTCTTTGGCACCACTGGCTATAGTATTACGTGTGCTTAGCCCTTGTTTTTACAGCCACACCTGTCTCTTTTTAAAGAATCCAAATTTTCCTCTCACTGGCAACGCACTCCGGAATTAGCTTCTGTGGAAACACAATGAGGATAACAGGATAAGTTCCCCGTCTAGATTTCTTGGTCAAGTGATATGATTTTGATTGCTCTGCAGAGTGTCATAAATGAGGTGCGTTACACAAACATCATCAAACAAGAATCATCTTTGCTCACTGGTTTTGAGAGCGGTTGTAAAACCCAGACGATGCCAAACACATCAAAAGAGCTAAATATTTCAATAGTTCTGGATGTTTTTGGATCCCCCTATTGGAGGATGTATGAGGCAAATGTCACCTATATTTGGATAGGAACATTTTTTTTATTGCTGTGTCTCAAACCCTCCCAGTTAAATTACAGATAAATTCTGTGTGATAGTAATTAAGCGAGTTCATTCTAAAGGTTTTGTGCAGCGAGTTCATTCTAAAGGTTTTGTGCAGCTGACTTTTGTGAGCTTGACTACTTTTTTATTTTTATTATGATTTTACTTTGTTTTAAATGTGTTCCTACAGCTTCAAAAGAATTATGGAAAACTTGGTACTTTAATCTTGACTGGGTGGGTGGAGGTACGAAGGTCTAAATATACCCCTATGCTGACACATAATGGAACCATGTGAATAGTCTTGCATATAAAGGGCTGGAGGATTTCCCTACAATAACAAATGTCTAACAATTAGATTGTATTCTGAAACTGATGCAAGTGTTGATAAGCTTTCCTACAACGGAGATGAAAATTGGATCGTTGACAAAGACCCTGAGCGGAGGCTTTGTTGGGTAGCATATTAGAAGTCAAATTTTAAACAGAAAAGAAAAATGGCACTACGTCAAAAATGAGAAATACACAATTGATGCAAATAAATGTGTCTAGAAATTGAAACTGCATAGCAAGAATCTGTTTAAGTAAAAAGTGTATTTTTTATTTTCTGCTTTTTAAAACATCCTTTCCTTTTAGAGGATTTCCCACCACAGACAAAACAGCTTTATATCCCTTTTGCTATTAAAATAGTATGTTTGGTTACAGCTAAATGCTAAAGCTACTGCTTAATGCACTACCTGCTGGGCAGGCACTGATGCTTATTCTGTGGCAGAAAAACAAACCCGGGCCATCATGTAAAGCACATTTGTTGTGATATGATCACATTATTGATGTGACAGTTCAAACAGCCCAAACTCTGCTCTCATCGCAGCAGATGGTGAATATTGGCTGTAATTTGACTTTTGCAATAAAACTGAGATGCATCCAGAGTCAATGACAGTAAAGGCAAGCAACCAGGACCAAAACCTGGTGGAAATTCAGAGATTTTCAGCAGTTTGAACATTTTATGAATAAATACTTCCCTTAGTTGTCCCAGATTTATTTTTAAATGTAGGTGCTGATCTTTGAGGTAAAATCAGATAATTTGATCTAATCTTGACTTCACTTTTGAGTAAAAAACAGTACTAGCTTTGTGCGTTCTGTTTTATTGAGTGACTCGCACCAATGAGCCATAAAGCAGTACCCTGACCACTGATGTTATAAAGTTATTGGGCCCAACCTGCACCCCGACCTCCACAACACTTTATTTTACAGTAGCCACACAGCTGCATGGCCCGTAAAAACGTCTTCACCTTTCAGTGTTGTCAGATTGTTGCACCGCAACATTTTTCACAAGATTTAACCACCCATTAATCTGATGATCACTATCAGACAGAAAAGTCTCTCCTTTATCGTGAACATTTGTTCACCATACAAGTATCCCCTGTGATTTAAACTTTCTCAGGAGAACGCTTAGTATGTTTTCCCACTTTGGACTATTCACACATTGGTGACCACCAGTCAAATGCTAGATGTCCATGTTAAAGTCCGAGCTCATTTTACAGTTTAAGAGTGTTATTTTTGTAGTCATAGAATGATGGCTTATGAGTGTAGTCGGGATTCTCAAAGCTTATCAGTCCACCGTTTCTTTTTTAGTCCTATTTTCTTGTTAGGTACTAGAACAGTGAAGTGAAACACAGCACACTCTAATGCACATCCCGAGGAGTGATGATGGACAACAGAGGGAAGAATAACTGGCAGCAAGCCGCCACTTAGTCAATAATTAAGCAGGGTTTTTTGTTAGCCCACCTCGTGTTAATTTGTTCTGCTAAATAATGAGCTGTATTGAAAATTAATAAATGCTTTCAGAGTGATTTATAACCATAATTCATTATTCAGTCTGCAGCAAAGAAAACTAATTGACAAGCAAGTGGACACAAATGTATTCAGTTTGTTGTTCAAGTAGTTTGAAACTCTTGACTTTCATTATGCTTGAGCATAGAGACCGTGCAATCATTTCAAAACTCATTCGATTTCCTCTGTTGATGAATCATATGTTTTATAAGATCTGTCTGGTTTTATACTTTCAGGCTTGACTGTATCATAGCAGTGAAGTTGTTAAAAAAAGCATGAACGCACTTTTCTACAAGTATTTCAGAGGGGTTCTGATGCGATAAACAGCAACATTAGGGAGACCCACAGTAATTTACAATCTACAATAACAGATTTCAAGAAATTAATTGAATTCTCTATATTCAGGTATCAAGCTTTGGAATCTGGAAGTATTTTCATTGAGCTGTTCTGCTCAGTCATTCCTGCCAAGGTTTCCTCACAGTCTGCCGCAAATTGGTCGTCTGTCCTTCATGACTGAGCTGTGAGCAAAAGCTTTTCAGAAACCAAAGGATGGCTGTGCTCTTTTTTTTCAAAATGTCTCACAATTGACAGAAACAAAACACAAGTGTCTGACCTGGTAGTTGATAAAACGCACACTGCTCGTGATCAGGCTTAATCCGTTCACCGTCTCCTGATGAATGATTATTAAGTGTACTGTTGTTTTGGGTGACAGCCATTGAATTATTGAGTGACCATTTGAAATTACAAGGAAGTAGTGACATAATGAATAAAGGGGTGATGTCAGCCTGGGGATTAAATGAAAAAATATTATGTGGGGAGGGGGTGATTTACGGTGATAGTGCTTTTTCTATGATCACTCTTCCATCAAATTGGATAAGAGCCAAAGAGAAAAACAGGAAGGCCACCTTAATTTATGCCCCATGTTTTCCATTGTTATTACGCTACTTCGTCAGACATGATTTTTTTTTTCCTGTGGAAAAAAAGTATCTTTTATGTGATCACCTCCACTTGCATTTCCGTTCACATTTTTTTGAGATATCATTGTCTATTAGGACAGAAACATGAGATTTCATGCTAATCTGAGTTGTTTTCTCATTACTTTATCTCAACCCTCCCCTCCCTTCCCCTGTTCTTCCAGCTCATTGTCTTCTAGCTAAAAGTTGACTCTCTTTATCATCATTCCTTTATCTCTCAGGCATGCTGTATAGGTCTCTTCCTCTCTCCCCCTCTTGTCTCCCTTTTCCGGCCCATCGACATCCACCGTGATGCTGCTCATTCCTAACTAGGGTGCCTTCAAGCCCACAGGTACACTTCCTCTACTCCCTCTACCCCTCCTCCACTTCATGCTCTATTTTTAACTCTTCTCTCCAAGATCTTACTCCAATACACTCCGACCCCAGCGCTTATCTCTGTCCGCATATCCTCACCATTCCCGCCAAATCACAGGAGGTTGTATCCCAAAAACTGCTCATTAATTAATGCCCCTCCTGGGTTTTCTTGTTTGTTGCTTCATCAAAAAAGAAAGCACTTAACATGATTTTTTCATCTGTTAAATGTATTTTCTGCTGTATACACTTTTTCCTAAAAAAAACAAAGGCAAAGGAAAAAGATACATCAATATCATTCAGACACACATTACCCATACAAATTCACCTCATGCAACTGATATGGCTAAATAAAATCCCCACTTTTTCGGAGGATTTGCAGCCTGACAGCCAGCTTCAGGCCCCCACAGACCGGAAACACAATGCACTTGTTGTAGGGATGGGACGGTTTCTGAAAACCGTCTGAACCGTTCGGTTCGACTGTCTCGGTTCGGTTCGCGTGTGTACCGCACGGTTCATGCACTGCTCCTTTTTCTCAGAGGGAAGCGTGTTCACTCCAGAGCAGAAGGGGGCGCTACTGCGCCCAAAGCCAACCACCAGTAGGAAACAAGAAGAAGAAGCGAAGCAGCGTAGCCGATAAAAATCAGACCCAGCAGCAGTTTCTAGGTCTGCTATATGGACCTCTTTGCATTTAGAGTCAAGCACATGTTGGAATTAGCACTATTTCCTCGCTTGCAATGCCAGAATCTCACCTATTTTCAACCTAAGACTGTCACAATAATGTATCAAATGTCAGACTGCTTTTTTCTTTCAGTTTTAACTAGGGATGGGGATCGAAACCCGGTTCTATCAAGGACCTGGTTCCACTTTTTTCAAAACCCGAAAATCAATAACGTTTGGGCTTATCGATACCACTATCGAGTCTGGTCGTTTTTTTATTATTACAATAGTAATTGTGAAATCTGTGTGGTAATCGGCAGCATACAAGCTAGTTAGCTTGAAAAGTAAATAAAGTTTCAGACGTGCTGCGTGATGATGTGTTCAGATTGGCTCAGTATAACGACAATTAGGTTATCATGATGCGTTCAAGTGTAACGTAAAGAAAAGGGAAATTGAGTTTTTGGCGAGAAACATGAGTAATACAGTTGTATATTGCTCTATTTATTTTAGAATATATAATTAAACTACTGATGCCAACATTTATTAAAAATTACATTTAATTTAAAATACAATTATTTATTTGTTAAATATTGTCGCATCGTCTTTCCACCAAATAACAGAAAATTATCGATAGTGGTATCGATAAAGACTCGGATCGATAAGGAGTATCGATAAAAGTATCGATATCAATAAATATTAACGATCCCCATCCCTAGTTTTAACCTGACTATACAAGACATAATAGATTTTCCTAACAATCACCATATACCGAACCGAACCGAAAACCGTGACCACAAAACCGTGAAACGAACCGAACCGTGGATTTTGTGAACCGTCCCACCCCTAACTTGTTGTACTATGAGACTGGAGTCCAGAGCCTTCTGAGCTGCCCTTTAGGATCGCATTCCATTCCAGTGAACGTTGTCATCACCAAAGCTTCATAACTTCCACCAACTAGAAGACAGTTGACTGGATGGAAAGCACTTTGAATGGAATGCACTTATCTCAAGATGGTTGCCCAGCCCAGAACAAAAGATGATTTTTTAATGACACACTTTGGCTGCTTTTTTACTAATGATCTTTATGAATGAAAATGTTCTCCCCTTTGCTAAATTGTCTCTTTTGATTTGCGATTCATCAAGACAATCAGTGTGCTCTTATAGATATTTATTTATTTTTATGAAGCATCAGTTCTCAGTGACATCGTATACAAATGGAAATAAATCAAGACTCTTTGCTGGTAGGCTTAATCAAGGACTGAAAACGCCTGGTATTTATTAATCTTGTGTGTGTGTGTTGGGGGGGGGGGTCTATGGTATGAAAAATGTCCATTTTAACATAAGTATGGACATACAAAGAGAAAAAAAAAGATTGAAGACCCTTTAACAAACGTTGTGTGGTATAAATGGTGGCCTCTCCAGAGCAGATTACACATTCAATAGCTATCAGCCTCGAAGAAAAAAAAACTCAATTTTCTGCCTTGTAATGCAGACAGTTGAACGTGCTACCTATGTCTAAAGTAAACAACATTTTATCGGCCCCAGCTAGTGATTCTGACTCAGTAATGATCCTCGTCTCCTTTCCCAGACGTGGCATTTGGCACTAAGGACAGACCTGCCTCGCAGCATTCTTGTCTGATTTCCCCATGCAGAACCAGGTAGACAGCTATGGGAAAATTCATTTGTCAAACTAACAGTCCTTCACGGCTATAGACAGCGGCTGTCAATGACGGGGTTTTGAGTTATTATGGGCCTTACTGAAAGAAACATCCAGAGTGTTTTCAGAAATAGGCTTTGGGGGTGATTTTACTCACATGATATTACTTTCCTCCTCTCCTTACTCTCTTATCGCTCAGTCTTTGCCTGTCAAGGAGGGATATTTTGCAGCTAATGCAGGAGGTCTGCAGATGGTGTCAACACTCATTTCGGCACTGAATCAAGCCTTTGAAAAAAACGAAATACTTCCCACCCACACCAATACCTGTTAGTATATTATCGCCTAAAACAAATGCTTATTTCGCTTGTGCGTGAACAAGATCCGGCAGCTGTCCTTCAGCTGTAAACTGAACATTTCAGGGTTTCGCTGCACACAAGGGCTGTCTCAGCTAAGATGAAAAATCTTAACATGGGGATGTTGATCCTTCAGCTTTACCGCTAAGAAAACAGGTCATTCAGAGCCAAATGTGTTATAGTTATGACAGTTAAACTCTGTGTTGATAGAATGAAAATGATTGTCGCCGTGGGCTATTTTGTTGACTTTACACTCACAGGTGCAGCAGGTTGGGGATGTCAGCCCAATTTAGATTAGTATTTACCCAACAGAAGTTTTGATTCCATCTCAGCAAGGACTGAAAGCATCAGCTGGAAATATTTCCATTCTCCTCATTTGAAGTCTGTGTAACGTCAGAATTGCACTGAATGCTTTACTCGAAGGTGAAATGGTTTGTAATTAGTTAATTATTCAGTCACTGAAAGTGATATCTTGGTTGACCCAAGTAATTGCATTAGAGGGCCCTTTGTAAAGAGGCTTTCTTAATTTGCCACACGAGTCGTCTCATCTTTTTGCTTCCTTCCTCTCTTATCTCCCTCTGATTCGTCTGAACTCTGCTTCTATTAATCCTTATTTGCTTCTCCTTTTTAGGCCTGACAAAAGCATAAATAGAATATAGACTTAGGAGGAATGTTTGCTTTCTCCCCTTTTTTCTTTTACAAGCATTGCATTTTCCTTCCCCTTTCCTCCCTCCCTCTCATGCCTCCTCCGGTGCAAGCCTTCTGACAACAGTGGTACCCTGCTGCCTGCGTTGGCCAGGTACCGCTCTACAGATGAAAGGTTTATAGCCAGAACTCTCTTTCAAAGATGCCTTCTGGTGTGTCTCTGCTCTCCATGGGCAAACAGTTGTCCCTGCCAGGCAGTCGGCAAGAAGGAGGCCAAGGAAAGGAGAAGAAGGTAGGACAGAATAAAGAGAAAAAAGAGGGTGGAGATGAGGTTACCGTGGACAAGCGCTAAATAGAGAGATTTTTTTACGGCTTGCTCTTACTCCAGATGTGGAAGTTGTTCCTTTTCCTTGGAGCAGTACATCATCATCAAAGACATCCAGGTGAATGCAGTCAGGGGAGGTGTGCCCCTTCTTTCACTCTTTCCACTGCCTCCAGTTTGATGCTCTTCTTACTTAGTCAGAGTGCCGCCACGGGACATAAATCAAGTTCTGGACATGTTCCTGGCATGTGTTTATCATCTGATGTCATGGTCAAGCGGTGGGTCTGAGTTTGAGTTAAAGAGCATTTTAAACTCTAAAAAAAGCCCAGTAAATTTTGCCCATTGAGGATAAATAGGGACAGACATATTTCCCTTCAAGTTATCTTAAAAGTAGCTCTATAGCTCATTCCCAGAATTCCTGCGGTGGTAATCTTGTCATCTACACTATGACATATCTATGGCATTAATCTCTGTAAACAGGGATGATATTTCCAACTGTCTGGAAACTCTTTGTTTTAGTTTGTCATCAAACAAAAACAAAGAGCACTGCCCAGTCATGTTGGAGGAATCTTGGTTAAAAGGTGCCATCAGTACATGCAGTTTTCGCTGGAATATCTATTACCCACATATCCTTTGGCTACAGATGAATAAGCCAGACATTGACTGCTTACTGTAAAGGCTCAATTAGCAGACAGAAGCTGCATGGTTCCTCTATCCCCATGTCACATCACTGTGAATTAAGGTACGCAATAGCTACTTGTAAGGAAAGCACTCTAAAACAAACATTTTATTTATATTGTCAGGGACAGAGCAAAAGAAACTCTGAATGCAACTCTGGAGACTTACTGGGAGAATAAAGAGTGTGCTGTATTTTCAGGGATCAAAGAAAAATAACTGATGAAGAACCAACACAGAAGGAGAAATGAGTATAATACAATATCTGACATAGTTGAATGTTTACCTGTATTAGATAAATGGGCAAGAAAATATCCTACCAACTCTACAACACCTACTTAAAACAAAAAGAACAGATATTAACATAGATATTAACATAACTTCATGTTTGTATAAGCCTTTCTTTTTTTGTCTTGTGTCACAAAAGTAGCACCAATCATTGTGAGAATGAAGGCCGAAAAAAAGACTACCTGAGTGACCTTCTCTCAGAGAAAATAATCCTAAAAATGAAGCTTTTCTGTTCACTTTCCTCTTTTGCTTTATTTGGCTTTAAATTAATTCAATTTCATCCTTGCAAAAATAATTCAAAGCACAGAAGGCTGCTAAAAATTAAATTGGGTTGCCACAGAGAGAATAAGTATTAATATTTCTCTGAACACAGAACTATCGATACTACCACAACTGCATTTAATAAAATAGATTCATTCTAAAGCATCAGTGCCTATTTTTTTTTGTTTTTCTTTTCATCAAATCACAGTATCCATCTGGTTCAGAAAGCCATTTGGTTCCTTAGGATAGGAATCATTCAAATTTGATCGGTATAAGAGATGGTGTTTGTCATCAGAATGCAAATTATTTTTAAAACGGCCATCCTTTAAGGTAATCTCTTCTGAGATTGGAGGTGACAGGATGGTTTTATGGGACGCTGACATAAATCTTTTCTTAAGACAAGTGAGATAATGCACTGTAGGACCGAGCTGAGAGATTTAGCCTCTGGATACTGCAGCGACAGGAGAAGGAGGCAGTGCAGGCAGTAAAACAGCTGACAGTTGGTCATTACGAAAGACGCAGGTGGGCCAAAAATCAATCATGTCAAGACTGGCCCGGTCAGTGACAGATGCCTGACATCTGCCTGATGAAGAGTTCTGTTGCTCCTCTGGAAAAAAAAGAAAGAAAAAGAGCTGGGGTAGGGGCCAAAATGGGAAAGCAGGACTCCGCAATTGGATCAGCCTAATGATAAGATGTAAAGAATCCAGTTCACTGAAAAGAACCAACGGGCACCGAGGAAACTTCAATGGTCTTGTTGGCATTTTAGAGAGTAATGGAAAGGCTAAGAAAGGCTAAGAGCAACAAGACTGCAGACGTATTTTCCATTAACCGAGTTCAAGTTGTCATTTCTTGTGGCTCGTTTGGCTGTAGCAACACTTCTACACTCTCCTTTCCAGTTTCTTTAGAGTGAGCCAGCCTGTGTCTGACTCTTTTGTGATGGGCGTGCAAGTAGGAGTGGCTATTTCAGCTGTGAAATGCCACTCCATTATTTTCTCGATAGCGCGGCACGCTTAGATTGGGGTTTTTGTTGTCAGTTGCATATATCTGGGAAAATGTTTGGCTTTTAAATGTAACTCCAAAAAAAACCAACGTGAGTCTTGGCGCCTTTACAGATTGATTTTGCTAAAAGAAAAAAACAAATGATACATATCAGTGTGCACTTTATATCCAGGTTATCTGTAAGCAAAGGGAGTAGAAATTCAAATTTACAATGGATGGCATTTATGACATACACAAGGCTTTTGTGGGTCATTTGTTTGGTCATTATTTAGTATATTTGTTTTGTTTCTATATTAACCATGACAACGCAATTTTGTTAGAAAAATAGATTAGGAATGGCCCGGTCACCTAAACCACGCATTGCATCTTATACTAATGTTTCTACCATTTGCATGAAACCAGTTCATTTTTGTACCAACCAATAGTTGTACAACTGTCCTGCTTCACCAGTTTCTGATGGTTTAAAAGTTGGTACCAAGTTTGCTGAAGCATTTTGATTGGAAACTGAAACACAGTATCAGAAACTGATACACGGATACACAGTATTACTGGTCCTGGCAGTCATCTACAGTCTATTTTTAACACAGCTACACTATACGATTATATTTCACTGCATGTTTTGACGACACAGTTCGAAAACCTGAATTCATTTCTCACCTATTTGATGCTAATGGCCTCAGTCCAGAAATACACTGCCAGACACACACCTACACTGTGTCAGCAGAAGGGAGGTCCACAGCAATTTCAGACTCTTTCATTCTGACCAAACTCTGTTTATACAACTTACAACACTGCCACACTTTTACTACCCTCATGTCCAATTGACCAGAACCAGATTCGTAATACACACAGACTTCTCTATAAAAATGTGTTCTTTGACATGTTCTCTACTATAAATCAGCACGGTCAGGGTTGAAATGATCATTTATTGTGTGATCTTTCTTTTAGTAAACATTTTAAAAGGGTTAGAATGACCCAAAAAAGCAGTGATGGAACCAATGACGAATCTGATTTGTTTATTTGTAAGTTCCTTACATTATGTAGGACTACACATCAATGACTGTATTGCATGCACAAAAAAAATAACTCGGACATTCCTCATGGCTCTTTAAAAAGTCATGAGGCCATTTGCTGCTGAGCCGGGAATCGTGACATAAAGACAGTGAGGAGGACACGCAAATTAATGCTATAAAAACCACCATGACGGCATTTAACTGTGAGTATTTTTGGGTGGACGGTCATTGCTTCACATTGCTTCACTTTTACTAAGTAGTATCACTGTGATCTTTTAAATGAGTGGGACAGGACAGGTGTAATGCAGGATCCATTCCGAGCTGGGCAGTTCTCTCTGTTCCAAAAAAAGTGGTCTGCACTCGTCTTTTCAAGGTCGACGTGAAAACACGAGTGTGTAAATCAGAGATTATGATGCCCCTCAGTAGGTCTGCCATCAAGTATACAGCAAGCTCTCCATCTGTACACTCCTGTTTTTCTCTTCGTTAATCTTAATGACCAGCTCCCAGGACACATTCTGCCTTCTCTCCACTATCTCATAACAACAACCTTGGCCATCCTATGTTTTCTTTCCTTCCCTCCTACCTCCATCTCTGTCCTTTACCTCTGTTCTTTCATCTCCTGCTTTTATCTGCCATCTGATCACAGGCCTCGGAGGATGAGGGGTGGGGGGGGTAATGAGATTAAGCCTGTACGTGTTTACATGTTCTGATTTACATTGAGCTCTTGCTGTCTTTCTCTGTCTGACCCATATTTCTCCTTATCCCTCCCCCGTCTTTTCGCCTTTTTTTGTCTCCCTTCTTCCTCTCAGGCTCTCCGTCTTTCCTACCTCAGCCACGGTGTTGCCAGACAGTAATCTGTGATATAATCTGTTTTAAACCAACAATTCCATCTGTCAGTGATTTCTGATTAAGACATATATAAATATATATTCATCCTTCTTTATGTCCCCTTTATTCGCACAATACTCTGTTGACTTGACTACTAGACTACTGTTTTTGTAATGTCAAGAATTTAGAGCTTTTACCAGGCAAGCCTTCCAGAGGAAACATGAGGAGAAATGAAATGTTGGAAGCAGGTGGGCTTCGTCATATTAAATCAATGTGACGAACTAAAGGACGAACTACAGAATGTATACTATATTCTGTATACTACAGAATGCAATGTGTCTGCATCGTACCGGTACCCTGCAGAACTCTGATGGAGCCCTCAGAGCTTCTTTTAAAGATCTGTTGTCAAAATTGTGCTGATTCTGTCGAAAACGAGAACACTAAACCCCGCAATCAAACATAAGAGAAAACAAAACAACCAGTTGAAAACACCAAGCATTAAAAATGTACGTTGGACATCTGCGCTCCATAAAGATTTTTGGGATATTAGACTGCAGAATGCCCATCCATCCATTCTCTATACCACTAATGGCTGTATGACATTTGTCAAATAGTCAAATAATTCATTTTCATAACTATAGATCTTATTCTAAAGTTTTGTTCTTTCTAATTTTTTTTTTTAACCACATTTTTTTCAGTTTTTTCCCTTGTGGTATAGATGAAAAAACATGAATTAGTGCAGCGGCTACACATATGACCTTGAAAAGAATGTGTTGGTTTGTTTTTCTGTCTCTTCTCTCTGTTAAGAAACTCAGCAGCCTTCCCTCCTCAGAGTTTGGTGTGCGTGTCCATTAGCAGCCTGTGTTCGGCTCCAGTCTGTCTTGGTGTGGAGCCAGAGGGTGAAGACGGCAATGTAGCTGCGATAAGAAAGTCTCGGCCGCCTCTCTGCTGAGAGCACAGACACACACAGCTGTTGGCCATTCAAAGGACATAGTTTAATTTTATCAGATAGCCACTTGGTCTTCATTTTCTGCCAGGTAGCATCCAATCTTTTAGCAGCTACTAATCTGACCCTGTCCGTTGTGTGATTCTGATGCCCGTGCCAAACTAAGTTGAAAACAAGATTAATGTGTCTATTTTCTGTAAGGCTATATGTCCATGTTCATTAGTGGGAACGTTTGCCACTGCTAACCACAGGAGACACCAGTGAACAACATGCAGCGACCACTCTTCACAGGGTAAAGCCCACCCTTTCACTTCTACAGATGTGGAATAGGAACATTGCAGTGTGGGACTTTTAAAGATGTGCGGTTTGTTTTCGCAGCATTGTTGTTGTCGCATACATTTCATTTCCCACATAACTGGCAGTTCGAGAATATTTGCTGTCTGACTCTGTTTTGTTGTTTGTTCTGGCTCCAGTGGCCTTTATTACAGCGGCTCGACCGAAAGGCGGGGTGAGACATGTGGGAAAGGGCCATGAGCTGGACTCAAACCCAGGCCACCAATGCAAGGCCACAAGTCCCTGTTCCTGAACTGCCCGCTCCAGCCGTTGAGCTCAATGGCAGCTCCATTTGTGGTGACAAATATCGCATAGAGGTGGTGCGACAAGTGGAAATCTGATGGCGTGATGAAACACTTAGAAACCTGTTTATGCCCTCAAAGTATTTATCGATCTGTTTCTGTGGACAGCGTTTTAAATTGGAAAGAGGATGACTGGAAGATAGAGCACTTTATCCGAGTTCGACTGAGGGATTTGTTGTGCTGTTGGTTTCCAAAGTTTTTTTTTTCTTTTATTAACAAAGATCATAGACATTTCCACATGTACTTTTGATCCTGTGATGTTGAAACAAAATATGGCAGTTATTGAAAAATTATTCATGAAGGAAACATTATGCAAAAAGGGGAATGTGGAAAACTCCATTTTGAGAATATTGCACGTGGCCGAATCTTCCTGGGCCCCCATGGGAACATTTATTTATTCCAAAGTCTCTGTGAGGATTTTCCCTGATCACTTCTTGTGGTTGCAGTTTTGAGAAAGACTAGCGCTTTACAATAAGTCCCTGATGACCAATGGGCTGGGAGAGGAAAGAGGAAAAGAAAAGCTGATGCATTTCCTCTGGACACACACTGTTCAGTGGTGCTGGTCATTTGTCATGCCAGCATGCATGTCGGAGTGCAGGAGCGCGCGTGTGTGTGTGTCCGTGCACACACACACGGATGCATGCACACACACTAGCATTGTTCAGCTAATGCTAATATGGTATGTGCTCTGCCCCGTGCCTGGGCCACAGAGGCACAGCGGTTAGGCCAAGTCTCCGGTGGCCGATGTGTTTACTGTTCACAGCAGCCTCTCTCCTCCAGCCTGTCCTCATTCTGTCACAGGCCCCTCATCCCTTATATGAATTCATCTGTCTTTTAATCGTGCCAGTTTTCCGAGCAAGCCGTCGTCATGTAAATTTGAGCAAATACAAGCTCCCTGGGCAAAGTTGATCCCTGACAGAGCGGCGGTGTCAGGGACATGGTGCTCTGCATCTGTCGTTGTTTTAAGTGCTCCCCTCATTAGAAGGTCAGCGGTTCGGTGCTCAGATTCTCTATTACATGTGTCGACATATCCCCGGATGAAAGAGGGCCCTGGCCTTGATACATTGTGTGTTTCTGATAGAAACATGTGCTCAATGAGCCCAACATTTAGTTCATTCAAAGGGTAAATTAATATCTGAGTCAACTTTTCATGAATGAATTATTCTATAAATATGAGGCATACATTAATTTATGGCTAAGTGCTGGCCTAATCCCCACAAATAAATTACCCCTCTATACAAGATGAAATCTTAAGGGAAATATTAAAAGCGTGACCCATTGTTTTTTCGGTTGTATATCTAGGGATATGTTTGCTGTAATCAAACACAAATGATAGCTTCATTTCATCAGCCTCTCTATTTGCCAAGACTGTGAGAGAGAGAAAAAAATGAAAGCGGCTTGTATCAAAATGTCGATTGCAATTCCCTGACCAATCACTGCGGTGCAGGAAAGAGATGCTTTTTGCACACACACTGAGCAAACATACATTAGGACTCGCCAGCCTACAAATTGCTGAGTTCATTTAGAGGCCTGGATGCTAAAAGCTGCTGTGTAGTGCAGCCGACTGCCAGTCTCAGGGAGAATTCAGACATCCGTGTGGTCAGCGAGTGAAGACAGCACTGATGGGTGCCTGGGGCTGAGTCCAGGCTTAGTGTGCGCTCTCAATCAGCCAACCATTTTGTCAGGCTTAAAGGTTAAACAAGCTATTAAAATCCAAAATACCTCTGCAGGGAATTGGATACTTACTTGTAAGTACATGTAAGGTTGTTTTTAAAAAAAAGTTAACATACAGATACAGCTTTATATAGCTTTATATAGAAGCGATATATAGAAAAATACAAAATATTAGCCTTCCTAAAATGCAAAACAATTAATTTAACACTTTCTGACTAAAGAAAAACAGCAGACAAGAGCATGTCCTTCACTTACAAATCAGATCTTAATAATTCACGTGTTTTTCTGCTGACAACAGGATAAGATATGTGTTATTATCCTGTAATCTGACTGAAATTCCATTCAACCTGTTTGTTGTGCAACACCAGTGTGTTAGTGGGGGAAAATGCAGACCAGCAGATAACCAACGGGAGATCTGAGAGCAGATGGGCAGAATGATATCCTCATTGAAAAGGCATGCAGACCACAAACAGGTATCAAGAAAAGAATAAGCCTGACATTTGTGTTGATAGATATATCCCACGGGACAGATGGGCAAATATGGTGAGCATGGGCTTAAAGAAACCGACCGGCCCTCAGACACATTGTGCGGTACCTGCTTGTTTACCATCGGAGAACACACCTGCTTGTTAGGCCACACCTTGTCTGCCACCATTTATCTACAGCAAGCTCTTTTACTATTACTATTAATATTACTTTTAGGATTACTATTATTCCTGGTTTACTATCACATACATGCCTATAACATTTCAGAAATGTCACTCTTTAACTTCTGTAAAAATGTCAAAAAGGGACCTAACACATAGTTTTAATTTTAAGGAGCATTGTTTTTAACTGTTTGGAGGACTAATGCTGAAGTCTGCTTCATTTTAAATGCATTTGATGAAATGTGACCAGTGGAAATGCAGTGCACCGGACAGAAATCAAAACCACAAATATCCAATAGGTCAGATATCCAATAGGTCAGCAACCACTTGCTGGAGCATCTGCTGGAAAATGCACTAAACCTCTTAACCTCAGCCTTGTTTCCAAGTACACAGACACACACCCAGGCTGCACCTGCATTCACAAACAAACCACTCACCACTTCAAAGCAAAGTATAAGCAAGCTGGCATATTTTTATTGAGTGTGGAAAAAATGAAGCATATAAAAACATGCAGCACACAGAGAAAAGGAGAATAATGCAATTAGTACTGGAATTAAAGTGCAATGATGCTCTTATTATAAACCACTTTTGCCCAAGTTTAAACCTATGAATATTGTAATTGCTGCCTTGGGCCTTTTTCTGCACTGCCTCCTTGTTTTACTTATCGATGATAATGTCGCATTTGGTTTTATAGCCTTTTCTGAAGCCCGCTTTTATTTCTCAGCCGTTGCATCATATCCAGAATAAAGTTAATGTAGCCACAGATTTATTTCTTATCAGGACTGAATAAGAAATACATCTCCAGATTCCCCCCAAAAGGTGGATTAACCATGTCCCTGACCCTGTGTTCCGATGTCATTTGGTGGTATAAGTTGATCAAATCTACTTTACACTCATTATCATAATTATACATTATAATGTTAGATGGTGTGCTGATGAACTATATGAAGTATCCGCGCGTTACTTTGTGCTCAGCTGTTCCGTTCAACGCACTGAACCTGTATCTGCTTGCTTCTGCGTTTTTTTTTTTTTTTGCATTGTGGGTAGGAGGAGCTGCTTTCCTGCGATTGTCTGCCTCCCTCCCCGCTCTGTCCCTCTCGCTCTCTTTCCCTCTCTCATATTTCCAAAGTTGAATATTCCGCTTGTCTGGGAGCTGTCGCCAGTGGAGCAGCTGACAGCGCAGGCTGAACGCGCGGGGCTGCTGGTTGGCGCTGCGCTTTTGTGGAGCAGACGTGGAGGGGGAAAGGATAGCTCTTCCGTATCCCTGCTCGCTTTCGCTCCCACCTCCTGTCCTGTCTGTCCTCCAGATTTTTTTTTTTTTCTCTTCTTCTCAGTTCATTTCGGGATACTTCCAAGATGTCAGAGGGAAAGAGCGTCGCGCATGTAAAGCTGGTAGGTGTCTGGCACCCCCTCCCCTGCGCGCGCAGAGGTGTCTGACTTGGTGTGGATGTGAAATTGGGCTCAGGTTTGGCTTGTGGCGGCGCCCAGACACGCCGGGGGTGAAGCGCCTTGGGGATAGAGATGGGGGGCCGGTGGCTTATGTTTTTCCACCATCTGATTTTTCTTGACGTGTTTGCGTAAAGCTCTCTTGCGGAGTGGACCCGAGTCAGACGCGCACGAACATGTCTGATGTAGGCTTCTCGGATATTGCTCTAAGTTAAACGCGCGGTGCTTTGACTGAGGTTTTTTTTATTTGACTTAAGAGAATCGTCTGTTATTTGGTCAGCCATAGCGATGTATTTAAGTGGTTGATTAAGCCGTAGTTTTGCCAAAAGTTAGCCAGTCTTGTCTGGGGATTTGGGGATTTTGGCTACCTGCGTTAAAACATGTGCCAGTGCCAGAATCTGGCTGTTTTGATGCGCATTTGCTCACTACTCTATACCAGCTGAGAGAAGCCAGTGCTCCTGCCATGTCAAGTATGTAGAACAGTTTAAAAAACGCGTTGAATCTGATGTTTAGTCTACTTGGGAACAGAAAGCTGATCCTTGAGCAGACACGCTGGCTGTTTACATTTTTGTCATTTTTCTTTGGAATATCACATCCATTTAGTTCTTTTTTGCATCTTGATACATTCTCTGTGGATATCAGTCCAATGGAAATTAACACAAAAAAAAACATATATCCTGGAGTAAAAAAAAAAAATAATAATATTATATTCTTGCACTAATTTCAGTTGCAGATTTGATGAAGTTGTTGAAAATACTAAAAGAATTTAGTTCAAATGAACTGATCCTACTCAGACCTCAAAGTGAAAACTAAATGGCGCCCCTGAATTAAGACGCAGTCAAAATGTGGCCAAACGCTCAAAGACGTTGGTAAGGTGTGAAGAAAGAAAAAACTAACATCGCCTTTGCAGAATTCCAACCACTGATTTCAGCTGAGTTCTGCTGGCCGTGTGAGGGACGGCTCCTTTTGTTCTGCTGCTCTGAATGCATCGGGGTTGCAGCATTCATAAGCAGAACCGCTGTTGTTTCAAGTTGAATGTTGGCCAAGTTGTGCTGCTGTTTTTTTTTTTTTTGGCCCGCACCGTTTGCCTCAATCGGTACTTCTTTGCTGAATTTGTAGTCCTGTTTCCAGATTGATTCCGCCTTCCTGCTGTGCCAGCTGTTCAAACAGAGCAGAACTACAATGAAAACGGACCGAATCCAATCGGCCCCGTGTTTCACCGGTGTTGTTGTAGTTGTTTTTTACTAGGGTATGTTTTTTTGTGTTTGTATGTGTGTGTGTGTTTGTCTTTTAATACAAGCCCAGGAGCTGACTGTCATTCCATCACACAACAAGGATCATCAGGCTGATTACACATCAGCACGCTCATGAATGCCCCCGTCTCAAAGAGACGAGCAGCGCCCGTGCTTCAGGCTGCTATTTAAACCTTCAAATGCCATGCATTCACTTTCCGTGCCGTCCTTCTGTCTTCAGGGTTGTTTCCCTGTGCTTTCCCTCTTTCTGATCCTACTTCCTCTTTCTGATCCTGCTCCTTTCTCCCCCCTCCTGTCTCCCTATACTCCCCCTCAAGTCTCTCTTTGCTCCTGAGGAAAAGCGGGTGTTGTTCGCTGTCTGTTCAAGGCATGCCAACGTGATCCCCACAATTGTGTTTTTTGGGGGTTTTTTTGCGTACTCTTAGTCTATTTTGGATTACCTGCTCCTCATAAATGAATATCTGTTCTATGTGCGCAGCAAAAGGATTAAGTGAAAGTGGTAGTGTTACAGTCTTTTGGTCTTAGTGTAAATCCTGTCGTTTTTCAGTTTAATGATGCATGGTGGATGACTGAGTGTGACAGTCCAAAGCATTCACTTTTAACATTATTTATTAAGGTAGTCTTAAAGGAAAACATCTTAAAGCAGTTAGGATAGTGAGAGGCCTCACACGCTTTTGATGACATGCAGGCTTTTGGCTTTCATTCAGAAATATGAGCAGAACCTGAAATCTAATTTACAAACCTCATCATTGAACGTTGTGGGTAATCCAATGCGACAACTCACTCACCTGAAGAAAAGAAACCAGCAGTGTCTCTGACACAGTTACTTTAACTGATGTCTGGTGTCCCTCTGGCCCGTTTGGATTGAGGAGATTTGTGATGTTCGCCCGATCTAGTGATCTTGTCTGCTAGCGTCTTTGGATAATAAATTACGTTTTATTTTTCACACATCTTTGAGCACGTAACCCAAAATAAAAATCCTCTGTTCAGCATCTCAGAAGTAATCTCAACTAGGCCACCTGTTTTCTGGCAGGGCTTTTTCATCTTGATCTCACAAGTTGAACAAGTTTCTAATCTAGTTCAAAGTGGCATTTAAACATCCTCCGTCCAAAAGGCTTCCTCTTGCGTAAATCAAACTTGGAGGCAGTAATCCTGTCAGGCTGAAGTTTTTGCAGCTGCCACTAATATACTCATAAGCACATGGTATCATTTGAACCTCACGACAGCAGCAACTGGGACCCCAAACGCAGTCTGTGTGTGTGCAGAGAGGTGGTCCCTTAAATGCAGCGGAGTCACATTCCAAGAGAAGCCATGTCTCCGAACCCCTGATGTTTTAAAATCCCTGCCCTGTGCTCCCTGCCTCAGTGTACCTCACATTGTTCCAGCTTTTTACAACACATGTAGAATGCAGCCATTCAGCTAATTCCTCTCAGCAGTTCCATTAAACCAAGTTGGCCACCAGACGAGGTTCCTGTTGGCTCTCCAACTGCCGTTTTTAAATTTCCACATGCACGACACGTAATCTTGTTTTTTTCTGTTTCATATTAGCGATAATGCCAGTGGTGTTTTGCTTTCTTGATACCTTGAAAGGTGGTGGCTTGAGAGCACTCAGGTACAGTCTCCATATTGTGTGCTTTTCAGAGTATTCTGAGATGTACTGAGCATCTACTAATGCATACACACAAACAAACAGGGATCTAAAAGAAGGCTTTGCTTTCTAATTGAGTGGGACAATCCGGACCCTGAAGACGGAGCTGAATCTTTGTAACAGATTGATGTGTAATGCAATCACTGCCCAATTAGCCTCTCACAGAAGATTTGTACACATTTCTCATCAACTGATCAAACAAACATTGGTGAGAAAAAAACTCTGTTGTCTATATTGGTGGTTACAGTGATCATGGTGGAGGTAAAGTTGATGGTGATTGGTTGTGAAAAGCAGATAGACTGAATAAAAAATGCAGATCTCTGAGTCTGAATGGGTGCCATTCATTAGAGATAGTAGTTCAAATTTGATGTGAAATTTGTCAAGGGAATGGATGTTAAAGTTGAAGCATTCCTGCATGGATGGATGGACGGTGTGGAACACTGCGTTTTTGTCTGTACACCGTTTAAGTGTAGCGAAGGTCCCTGCCAGGAGACGCATAGCCTGTCCATTCATTCTGAATGCCTGCTGATCGGGAAAGACTTCATGGATGGAAGCCTGTGGCTCAATGCTCACCCTTTATTAGTGAAACTATACTAATGCACCTTTATGTTAAAGTCATTGAACTAAATGTGGCCATCGTCCTTTGTTAGTATTTAGTGAAACCCCCTCATAGCCAATCGTTCAGTGTTTGCTTATCAGACTATGTTTCCATTTGTAGCATGCGTTGCATTATCCATGCCTATTCCTTAATTTCAAATGGCAAACTTAATGATAAAAGAGGTTCATGAATTGGCTTTTGATGGTTTAGACACTTTTTCTGTATTAGAAGGAATTAAAAAGACCTTCTTCTGAATTTGTTCTGAGCAAAGATCAAATTCATTTGAGTGACCATAATTTTCCTAGATAAGATTCATTGTCCGACATATACTCAGTACCTTAAAGAAGCTCATTATAACTTTCTGTAGTTGAATTTCTATTTTTTTCATGACATGATGATAAAACATATGTTGGAACACATTTCTGGTGATGCAGAAGCGCTCTAAAATTTCAAATCAACTTAATACAGACTTTATGTCCAATATGTCAAAAGATAAGTTTATTCCTAAATTAAACCCCTGTAAGTGGTCAATTCTGTAGCTACTCATCACTGTCCTTAACAAGAGATCATGAACTTTTGAGTTAAAATGTCGTACTCATTAACATCAAGATCCAATTCACTCAAACCCAGCTCATAATAAGGCCACCAACAGTTTCTCTCTACAGTTCCTGAGAGCATGTACTGGAGATTAATATGTCAGAACTGCAGCTCCACTTACAGTTTTCTGCCTGAAAGGCAAGTGAGGAAAATGTGAGGGGAAAATATGTTTTGGACCTAGAGTGGAATGAATTGAGAATGCCAGAAAGTAGATTAGATGTTTTATGTATCACCGTTCATTAAGATTTAACTTTACATGAATGGTGGCTTTAAACAAGCCATGGCCCAGCCATACCCTGTGAGATTACCAATGAAGTACTTATAAAGTACTTTAATTTAAGTAGTAGTCAAGTTATCTCAACCTTCAGTTGAAAGTACTCAATATATTCTTTGTGTCCAGGTTATGTCGGGAATTCTGGCTGAATACCACTCAGAACAGAGCTCCAGAAAGGCCCATTTTTGCCATCTAAAACAAATCCAATGAAATCAATTCTTGGCAGATTGCTTTGGAGTCAGCTTTTCAGCCTCTGTTCATGCAATGACTGTTGGAAAATGGATATTCTTCCATCGAAAAATTGGTGGGAAAAGAAATGTGATTCAAAAGTGACAGAATTCTAAAAAATAGATAGAGTGTATTTTTGTGGTGTTAGAGATCTGAGAAGTGGTAAAAGCAAAAATAAATCTCATTCACTGTGGCTCTGTCCTGAGTAGCTATTAGCTTTGCTCCCCCTCTAGAAATTCCCAGTTGATTTTCCAAAATGACTTCAGGTAAGATGTGGATTACTCACACAGCCCCACCTCATGAATAAATAAATAAATACAGTACTGTAAGTCATTGAGCTGCCATCAATGAGCCTGGCCTCAGGTTATGGCTGTCTACCCCGGTGATTTTAAATGTGAGAACCAAAAAAACCCTAGCAACAAAATAAAGATCCGAATTAAAGAAGACAAACACTGTTTTCCAGTGTTAATCTTTTCCTTGATCTGCCAGTCCTTGACTACCTACTCATTCAGAACGAATGGAGTGGTGTGTCCAAACGTCTGATCCGTGTTTGCATGGTAGTGCGAAGGGAGCTAAATCCAGCCTAGGCGTGATAGTGAGTTTGCCCTCTTCATGGAAAACTCCGGAAACATCTCCCAGATTTCTGCCTATCAAGGAAGAGGTGTTGGGTCATAGATCAGGCATGTTACTTTCCACCATGGTGTTAGAGCAGCAGCTGAGTAGAGGAGGCAGCGGGTCTTCATCCAGCTGCCTGTTTATACTCCTGCAGGGATACACGTGTTTCCCATGATCTCACCTACTGGCACCAGGAGCCAGGGACCGGGCCCATTACTGACATCATCCTGCCCAGCCGAGAAGCCTCCTTTGGGTTACGTTCATCACACCTCCTCCCTCTAAAAAAAAGAGAAAGAAAGAAAGAAAGAAAGCAGGGGATTGTGGAAGTGAGGAGTTCTGGTGGGAGTGCAGTGAGCTGGGTGTAGTTTCATCTTTATAGTGGTTCTAAATTCTTAATGGATTATCTGACTATGTATAGAAGGTTATTAAATTTGCATAACTTTAAAAGAGCCTGAAACATTAACTGGATTGTTTTCGTAAAAGTTTCTAACCTAAATGGCAGCCTGTAGAACAAAGTTTTACAATCTGTTTTTTAGCCGTTTAAACAGTGGTGAGCAGACGCTTTTCATAAAGAACTCATCAGCACAAGCTGCGAGGCACTTTTGACAAGATTAGAGGGATTGGAAATTGAAACTGCTCGCAGAGAGAGAACTGACTATAAAGAGGCTGATCAGCAAGGTGGGTTTAAAAAGAGGGTTGTGTGGAAAAAAAAAAAAAAGATTGTGAAGCTCCAAGGATATTTGTATCGTCCTGGGGAGTCTTAATAGCTACTGTACCCAGATCAAAGAGCAAAGACAAAAAGTCAGCAGGGTAGAAGATGAAAAAAAGCCTTTTGACTGACTCATACTCACAGACACATGTGCACTTTCATCATCACACACATGCCCTCACCCAGCAGGCTTTTTAAGTATCACACCTACTTATGCTGATCTTGGGGAGTCTCAGATGCTCTTATAAGATCTTCTACTACTCTCCCCCCCCCTGTCTTACAGGTTACATTGTTACTTGAAATGTGTGTTGCTTGCTGAGCAGATTATAGTGTCCCATCATAACTTTCAGCAGCGGTGCTTGTGAACCTGCCTCCAGGAAAGAAAAACAACCTTGGACTGAGTTTTTTTTTCTGAGTTTGTTTTTTTTTTTGTTTATGTCTCTGGGCCATTGACTCAGTTCAGCCGTGTTGTAGCAAAAGGCATTGTTAACCCACACAATTATACTCCTTGGTTTTGTACTGCCTTGGGAATAGCTATTTTTAAAATGACGGCAGTGCTGGGCAACCATTGTTAAACTAACAACTTATTGATTCGTGTCAGCTTCTTTTCGGATTGGGCTGGGCTTTTCTTTTCTTCAACACCTTTTACACAATATTTGCGTGTGTAAAATATGCATGGGAATTCAGTTCCAAGTTAATTTGCGTCTGTTTTCAGTTTGTTTGTTTTTTATCCATGGACTGATGTTTTAAAAAATTCTTACATAGTGTATTCCCACAGGCCACTAGCATCACTAAGGTATTCACATAAAACTGTTTGTGTCTCTTTAAAGTGAATTGGGTGAGTCATAAATATGTCTCACTGCTTACATTCATAAATCAGTTTATAATTTGTTGCAAATGAGCACAGAAGTATTGTGGCCACGGCGGCGGTCAGTAAAATCTAATGGGCTTATTCGTGTCCTGGCGTTCACCATGTCGACCCAAATGGTGTGTATCCCATCCATAATGTCACAAATGAAATCTCTTCACCCTGGGAAGGATTTCTCGTCATGAGAGGGGGCCACATGATTATTTCCCAGGGATAAAGACAGCTAATCGAACAAATAGAGCCACGAGCTGCTGACATTTCAGCACATGGAGCCAGTCGAACAGCAGCCAAGGAAAACAATGGCTCACCCCCCCCTCTCCCTTGAAGGAAATGCCAGACATTACAGTGTTGTATAAATAGAGGGCTCTGACTTTGTAGAGCGAGATAGAGGACAGGAACCCCCTCCCCGGGGTCACACCGATGGCAAGGTCTCCCACCTCTCCTCCATACTGCTGTCTTGTAGGTCCTCATTGCTCTTTTTGCCTCCGCCTCGAAGTGTACGACTTATTTTTGAGACCTCTTTAGGTTTTTGTCCACCCCCTTTGCTCTATCCCCTTTATTTTTTATCTCCCTGTCTTGCTTTTTCTCAAACACCAGTCACCATGAATAACTGAACAGCCTAGTAACACTTCAAAAACACCTTATGCTTTATTAATGGCACCATCTACTATAGCCGGAGTGGCAAATGGTCTTTCTGGATCGAGGGAGTGCAGAGGGTGTGACCCAAAGTGAAAGCTGAAGTAGGGCCAGGAGAGCTGGTGTTTGACGGCTTTTTGTCAGGCAGCCTGTTGTTGCTGCTGTCAGCTCTGTGCTGCTCAGTTTCTTTTAATGGTAGGAAGAAGTTTGGGCTTATATCTGGACAACTGTGCCCCATGGATGCATGCATTGTCCTACAACATGCAGCTTCAAGGTTTTTTTAAACAAGAACTGGAAAAATCCTTCCGTTATTAAAACATTGATTTTTTTCCCACTCTCATTTCACACAATTTTCTGTTCTCCAACTCTTGAGAAAAGGGAGGGTACAAAGCCGAGTCATATCCTCGTTGAGGTGAGCTGCTCTGTCTATATGTAATCGGGTTACGGATGATTAATTCCAGACAACTCGAACAAGTTTTCACGTGTGCCATCTTTTGTACCTGGCATATGAATTTATTTTCCTCGGCTTGCAGGCGAATCATTCGTAGGATTGAACCCCAGCTACTGGCGTGCTGAGGTTTTAGAAACATGGCGCCCGTGAGACATTGCACACAAAGACACAAACATTCAGCACCCACACATTCTTTGTCCGACCCTTTGTCTTCATTTATCTCAGTCTTATCGTCACACGTTACTGGGAACTGTTCTTTTGTTTTGTGCTTTTGTTTTCCTTTAATTTTTTTGAGCATGAGGATTGATTATGTTCTTCAGACCACAGGAGTTCTGACTCCTCCAGAATAAGGATTTACTGAAATGGTTTTCAGGATACTGACAGGTACTCTTCAGATAACCGGTCTGTTATTTGGCTAATTTAGAGCGCATGAAGTGATAGATTTGAAGCTGTCAGCTGTTTTTGTCAGCAGAGAAACTTTTCTGGAATGCGCCGTCAGTCGTCTTACAGAGGGCCGTTATCTTTTTGGCAGTTTGGAGTCCCTGATATAGATGTACAGGCGCAGAGAATACAGTAATCTGAAGGGGAAAAAATCCTCTTCCCTGAAGCTCATATTACTGTTTATGCATTGCATAGATTGCTTTTTTCACTTTATTTGTGGCACATGATCATATTTATAGAAAAGTCTGATAAAATGTAAGCCATTAACATGGCACCGCGCTTGTGTATAGAGTCAGATAAAAATATCTAATCCTGAAGTTGAATTGGTGTCAAGTGTCAGTAAAAGAAAGTTTGCTTCCGGAGAGGAAATGGATTTCTCAAGCAAGGCAACATGTGTTTTTTTAGACACTGTTGTCTTATCTTAAGCCGTTGTCGGCATGAGTGCTTGTAGGAAATTGTTTTTTCTTCATGAGGATAGTTGTTGTGGAGTCCTGCATAAGTTCTAGTTGAAGAAAATAGATAGACCCTGCTTTGAAAATGTTTTCCAGCAGACAAAGTCGAGCCTAAAAAGAAAGAACATTTCATAATAAAAAACCTTTAAAGGGAGAAAAATACTAATGCTTTGTTGTATAAAGAACATAATTTATATTTTATCCCGTGCTGCACACTCAGGTAAAGCAAAGTAACTGAAGAATGGAATTACTTGGCAATGTTCCCTTAAATATAGACTGTTTTGACTGAAACAGTCAGAGCCCAAAGATTTACCAGTGTGTTTGAATGTCCTTTTGTCGAGTGTAGGCTTTGCCTCTGTTCTCCCCTCCTCTTCATCTTTTGCTCCCTCCAGGTTCACAGCTGCGTCTAAATATCTAATAAGCTGTTCTGCCAACTTCTGATCCCGGGTTTGTTCTCACCTGGGCAAATGCACATGAATAATGGAAGCAGCTTGAAGTGAGGCAGGGGCACGGTTGCTACAGAGCTGTGTTGAGGTTTGATAAGGCTCTCCCTCACAGGAAAAAAAGCCTCAGAGAGCTGACGAGACACCATGTGACAGTATTAACTTTATTACCCACTGGCTGCCAAGCTGTTAACAGGCAGAGGTATTAAATAGAGGGTATGGGAGAGGAGGCGTGTTCTATTCACTGTCGCAACTCTGTGAAAATCACATTTCATTCGCTTTCATGTATAGATGCATTCAAATCATTAGCAGCAAGAGCTTTGGCTTGTTCTTGACAGGCCTTGATTGTTTACTTTACTTTCAGTGAGTTGCATCATCAGATGTCCTTCACACAGTGGAGCCCTCATCAGCACTACTGACGGACAGTCAAAAGAATACCGGAAAACTTACATGGCTTTCAAACGAAAAGGCTTTGAGAAACAACATCCAAGCACCACCAACACTGGTCACTGGGTATTGCATTATATTTACTCTTTTAAGGTTTGTCTAATGGTGGGCAGTCTGGTAACGCAAGTTTTCTTTAATTCATATTCACAGAATGGAAAGTGTTTTTAAATGGAGAAAATAGACAGCAGAGAGATGCATTCATAGACTGCAGACTCCAAGTGTACATCCATTTTTCAAATGGACAAAGGAGCACTGAACTGTCAATTCACCCTTCAAAAAATGAGACGATGCTAAGTCAGTTTTGTCTTGAAAAATGTTAAATAAAGAGTCAGAAAGTTTTATTCTAATGACATTCAAACAAAAAAAATGCAAAATTTCTTTCAGTGTTTAAAGCCAACGGTGTATGTCCAGCAGAATCATACCCTCATCAAATGTTTTTGTGGCCATCGAGCAGCAAATAACCAAGGCCCCAACTAAAATCGATAATTGTGGAAACACCAATAAGGAATATGAATAGAGGACACGTAGGATAGAAGTTTTAAGAGGACATGTGAATTGAATTTGTTGCTTTTCAGTCAATAGAGAAAAACAGACTAACATAGAATGTGGATTCTACATTAAATATAAAAAGGTTTTTCATATTTATGCTGTGGATTCAAAGGACTATTAAGTAAGTCTGCAGAAGACATTTCAGTCAGTCTGTTTTAGTAATAAATAAATAAAGATTGAAGTTCCTAAATGAAAAGTTCATTGGGTTTGGAGAACTTATAGACCTTCACGCTAATGTGCACCAAATAGGATTAATTGTTTTTTCACAATGAATCTGATAAACATAGTATCTAATGATAATCTGGCACCCAGGAATTGGTTTTAGGTCACAAATTTGATTCATTGATTGAATGGGTTGAATTCTTTTTACAGCAGATGCTGATCTGCTGGAAACATTTTCCATACTGATACTTAACATTTCTGCAGTGTGCGTATAATCACCCAGTTAGGATTATATCCAGTAAATCAATGACTTGACCAAAACTCTACCAACAGTATATGTTTCAGGCAATCTAATAATAGAATTTCCCTTTACATAGTGAGGTTAGTCATCAAGTACTGACATTGGTCACAGAATAAGATGTACAAGTCCTTTCTGATTAGGACTCTGCAGAACTTTCTGAGGCAAATTACCTTGTAACATATATTACATTATATACATCATTTATAGATGCTCCATTTGTGGTTTTCTAGTCTAAATCCAGTTTTCATTTGTTTATTAACTATAGTTGATAGTAAATTTAAATATTTGTGTGACAAATAAACTAAATTTGGATTTTAGTTACTCGTTTAGAGGTGTTTTGCTGACAGAAACTTCTCTGCGACAAACCTCCAAATAAAGTGCTCCCTGTTAAGGGACACATTTTTTTCCCCAAATATATTAAATCCAGCTGAAGTTATTAGCAGTGAATTCCACCTAAGAAAGATAGATAGGAGAAGTGTCTGTGCACTTCAGTGTTGCAGGCTGGCCTGCTGTATATTTAGACCACCATTACTTGTCCAGTTTAGAGGGATGCCCTGAGTAAATGAAAAGTAGCTGGTAGCATGCTGTAAACCCTGCAGAAACCGCAGAGCAGGGTTGATGTGTTTCAGCATTGTTTATCTTTTGTATTAATCCAGGAAGTTTGAATTAGGAAAGCAGGATGTCTGCATCCTGCACTTGGGAGAAAGATGTCTTTGTTGAGCTTGATTACTGCACATAAGGTTTTCTCAGGCAGACAGCATCAGAGCAAATTTCTTGTTTTCTTTTCTTACTCAGATGTCACTGTTTTGTTGTTTCCATGACAAAAGCATAAAGTTTTTTATATTTTTTTCCGTGAATTCAAAAGCACAAAGTAAAATACAAATTGGCCTGTTTCAGGCAATTCAATGTAGTTTATGTGCATTTCCAACAGAAGAAAAGCCCCAAAAGAAAAGGGCAAAATGAAATAAGATGGAATCAAAAACACACTACTTGTTTAGATATGATTTGAAGAGAAAGCCATCATGGTTTTATGAGAGGATAGGAGGATTCTATAAAGGGTGTAGATGGTGACCAAAGGAACACTAACCCATACGTAATGTGCTGGTATTTTTTTTTATCCCATGGAGCAGCTGCTGCCAGGTGCACAGCAATCTGTGTGCTGTTTGATCACATTTATGTAATCCTATGTATGAGTGTCTGTGTTTTTACGGTCATCATGAGGGCTCCAATTCTTAAGAGCTGTCTAATTTCCTTTTTTTTAGGACCATGAATAAATGTAGCCTCTCTATGTCTGGCAAAACTCAGTCCTGCCGGCTTCTGAAACGCTTTACACAAGTTGGTATTTTTATCACCGGCTGCTTGAATTAATTACACTCCCAAATGTCAGCATTGCAGTCCACTAATGCCACTGAATTCCAGGTATTCCGCTCAAACAATGTCGTGTTTCTTCTTAGTTTCCATGCTCAGCTGAGGTGATTAGGGTAAATGCCATTGGAAGGACCGGAGAGTTATGTTTGCTAACTCTGGCCCTAATGAAAGCACTCATACAGCAATGCTAAGTCAGGCTGTTTTTATTTGTCATTTTAACGTGTGTGCCCATGATTAATGTGCCAGCGAGATGTGTGAAGGTGATTCAACTACGCAGAAACAGGCGAGCCCCTCTCTGTGGACACACACGTCGGCTTTCAATGCGATGTTTGGTTACCCCATAAAGTAATGACTGGAAACTCCTTGTTTAGATTAGAAACCTCTGTGGAGAAGCAAGAGAGAGCGTACTATACTGTGTTATTGTTGCAAAAGCAAGGCACAAAATATCTGGATTTCTTGTTGGTGTGTTTATCCGGTTTCCTGGTAGAGATATTTTCAAAATGTGACCCACGTAACAAAAGGTCAACTGCACATTGAGGTCACAGACTGCAGGTTTGTCATTTGAACAGCATGAGTCTTCATTTAGCTCAAAGAATCAGCTATTGTAGCCATCCATGACAAGGATAATGCAACACATCAGCTCAAATTCCATTAAGCCAGGCTAGCACTTTATTTGAAACATTCATTAGTCAGTATTCATTGTGATTTGCCACCACTCTTTTTTCAGTATGGTAAATGTCAAGTTACATGGAGTCATTCGTCAGCTTAGGGTAAAGTTGGAAAAATTGTCACACAAAAAGTCGGTTTCAGATGCAGTTTGTGGGAGAGTGCGTTTTTTTAATCTTGTGGTTGTAAAACACATTTACAGAAACACAAGGGAGGGTACAAATTAAAACAGTGCACACCTTCTTATCCATGACACAGCAAGAGTTGAGTTTTTCTCTACATGTTCTTAGCACATGTAAACACTAACATGTAGCATGGTTTGTAAAAACAATTACAATAATATGCATAAAACCCCAAAACAAAGAGGCATGAACAGTTAACATCACTACCTTTTTTCTTAGAGAATGATGTACAATCTGCTTGGCAGACCGTAAACTGGGATTAACATTTGGGTTTAGTACCAGTTGAATTTAACTGAGCTCTACACCCAGTATTTTCTTATTTTATTTTTCTTATTTTGCCATTATATCTACTTCTGTCCTTATTTTTATCTTCGTGATTACATATGTCACTACATACATAAATGGGAGATACGCTGCGTCTATTGTAGTGGAACAGAACTCTTTTCCCTTCAGCGTTAGGGACCGAGTCTCATGGTTTACTCTCTGGAGCACGTGTAAAAAGAAGATGGTCAAACCTCCTGCTGTTGTTGTTTACTGTCATCTTTCTATCTGGAGCCTTTAAACCTCAGCCGTGTGATTTTCTGCTTCTCTTCCTTTTGTGTGATAAGTCCCTGATTGACAGCCTCCAGTGAGATGGATGGATTTAGGTTACACTTGTAGGGAGTAGTGTGAATGCAGATGGAGGGATTGTGTAAAGGTCTCTGGGATGTAGACTGACATATACACTGTCAGTCTGACAATAAAAAGTTGGGTTTCACGGAAGATTGTCACAGTGGTTAGACTGAGTCCTTTGAAACTGATAAAAGAGGCTAGTGCGGGAATATTGACAAAGGGCTCCAAGTACATCTGAGGTTGTGGATTTCCATTTTTTTGCGTGGCATCTGCTACACCTGTTTGTTGGGGATACGCATGTGGATGTATGTAACATTTTTTGTATATACCTATACAATCTACCTATACAAAATACAGCCTTTCTCCCTTTTTCCTGCTTAACCGTGAAGGAAAAAGTCAGATTCACAGATGTCTAACATCTATTAGATACAGTTTAATAACTGTTTAGCTGATCAAGTGAATCCATACGTCATGCTTGTGACAACACACCATATAAATAGAAACATTACGCCTACATTAGGAACAGAAATGTATATTTCTCCAAAAGGGTGAGGTGTGGTGCTTTGTGTAGACTTTTGCTGCTTAATAGTCAAGTGTCCATTGAGCTCCTGCTTGTCAGCTGTGTGATTGCATTTCACTGGGGAACAGTTTGGTTTTTTACAAGTGGATTGTTTGTTCAAGGATAATCATCTTTGTTCTGCAAATGTTCTCGCTCCAAACTGATGAGTGCGTCAGCTAAGTGAATTCAAACACATGCAAGCCTACACCCATGGGACTGGGATGGTGGGCTTCAGATAAACAGCCTTTGTCGTCTCTTCAGTGTGCAGATTAGGAAGTGACAGAAGGAGTCACACCAACATTTTCTATTTTGAGGCTTTCCCTAACTTTCTGTCTTACAAATTGGTTTATTGAATCTAATGGACTCGGGAGCATTAGATGCAAATATCTTTGTGATGCAGAAAGCCGCCTGTTAGACAAACAGTGTCGTCTTTGGCATGTGCAAGTGTTCGCATGAAAATTGATCTGACTGGTCTCTTTCGATTTTCTAATGAATCATCATTCAATTCCATTATAAGGCCTGTGTAAGACCAAAGAGTCTCACTAGGATCATTTCATCAACACAAGGCCAGTGTGAGTGCCCTCAAGCCTCATGTCACTGAGAATGGGTATCTGTTTGGCTTTGTGCGGGAATGTGCTCATATGCTTTAATGTAGATTCTTTCCTCAAGATGTTCAAACTCCAGATGGGATCCTTCACCTCAACAAGGCGGAGGAAAATAGAAAGGAGACGGAGAGCTTGGCTGTGTGTGCTTATGGGGCTGTTAGAGACAGTGTGTGTCCACGGTGCCTGTTTGCAGAACAGACACCTGTGCCATGAAGCCAGTGATTCAGCCCCTAAGTGGCTCTCATCATTCCTGATATTGTTTCCCCAGAGTGACATCGCTAAAGTTTAATGGGCCTGCTGATGGCGTGTTAGAGCTCAGTGTTAATTATAACACCATGCTTCGTTAGGCATCGTCACATTAACATCAAGAGAAGCAGCTCCGTCTGAGTTTTGTAGTCAGGAAATAAGAGGGAATGCTGAGTAGTCAGCACTTGAATTAGACACTCAAAACAAAACCAACATTGAGGTCATGCATTCCCAATTGAACTGGTGGGCTGTTATATCAGAGTTTTTCTGCTGTCTGAGCCTGAATTATTATCTCGGTCATGGTACTGACATTTATAGCTGATATTTTCTTGCGGTTGTAGAGATACAAGAGTGTTTTTTCCTAATGAATGTGCGCTGTTCACTGCTCAGCAGCAGTTGTGTGCTGATATCTGTTCAAATGGAAAGCCATCATGTGTTTAGCTATATACATCTATGAAAACATTCTTTCTTGGTATTCCATACTTAATCATCTTTCCACAATTACTGAAAAAAGTGCTGCATTTTGATAAGAAAATGAGTTAAACAATAAATTTAATGTAATTTTTACAAAATGTAAAAATCTATGCAAATCAAAGTGAAATTACAGTCTCAAAATGATGTAAAGACTAGAGAGTTACATAAGTTATTTTTACCTTCGAGTCAACAAACTGAGGAGCCGTGGACTTTGATTACAATCAACAGGTCCTCAAAGCTGTCCTTACCTTCCCACGTTACCATCCTCAAGGATTCATCTTCCATTCTTTCCATTAATCTTCTTCACCCACTTCTGGTTATCAGCTCTCAGATACATGCAGATAATTAGGTTTGATGAAGCAAAGCCTGAAGCTGGCGCTGTCAGCCGAACCTTCCCTCTCATTATGCCAAACACAGCCAGACTGTTAGATCAGACAAAGACAATTTACTAGCAGACTGTGTGTACGTGAAAATATATGCGAAGAAAAACACCTTACATACATATTCACTAAACACAATGTGCTTTGCAGTTTATGAGCAATATGCATCTGCATGATTAGTGTAGCGCAGCCATCTATTCATGTGCCACATAATGAATCTTGTTCTGATTCAGTCGCATGTGCACAACCGCCCCGGTCAGAGGAGTGCCTTTTCCAGGCAACATGAAGGCTGCACAAATCATATTCCCTTTGAACATTGTTTCTGCTCCTGCACTCGAGAGGAGACTTCCGTTTGTGCAGACGGGCCTGAGCGTTTGAGCTCTGTTTCCACCTTTTACGCGAGCCTGTCTTTAGCTGGTCCTTTGTTGGTTTCAGTGATGATGGGTGACTCGAAACTCTTAACGTCGTTTTACTAAACGGATGCTACAAGGTTAGGAAATGGTTATTGTGCATTAGAAGGATTAGAGATGCACCAAATGAGGCCACAGGAAATTTGCCATCCCTTTATACGAGAAGGAAATTGCTGATATTTTGACAACAACATCTCAGTTTTATGAACTATTCAGCGTCAGGCCTAAATGATTATGGTCACAACAACACTAATTCATTTTAGTTGCACAATGCACATTATTTGTTTTGCAGGAGCTTTGCCACAAACATTGTCCAAGATGTCAGTGACAATTTTCACTTTTCAGCTTAGACTCGAGAAAGAAGAAATGTGGGTACAGACAGCTTTTCATTATGTTTTTTTTTTAAACAGCCAACAATGTAAAATTAAATGCATTTAGCAAACCTTAACCAGCTCTTTGGTAATAATGTGTTTAAAGCACCCTAATGTCTACTCGCTTTTGTTAAGCATGAAATTAAGTGGCTTAATAATTAATTTATTACGGCCAAAACCAAGTGATCAGTAAAATTCTTTAGGAGGCGAGAGCAGTCTTTCAGGAACAATTCATGTGTCTGTGGCTGCATTATGCTATTTCACAGAGTCGAGCTAGTTTCTTTTAAAGGATATAAAGCCCCCACCGCCCGCTCACCTGTGCCACTAAATCAGTAGGGTGGGAGCGCAGGCTATAAGCCATTTCACATGTCAGTGGTTTTAAGGCCACCTCGAGAGGAGGACAGTTAGATATGCAGACTGCAACGGGCTGAGATTTGGAGGTTTTGGAGAATGAAGGGGAGGACCTGAAATCAATTTTCTTGTTTAGCTTTGGCTTTGTTTTCATTGCCCGGTTCGAAATTGCTTTTATAATAGCGCTCTCAAAGTTGAAATTTCCATGAAGTGTTAATGCTCAATATGAGAAGCTGTTCTCATCATCAAAACTTTCAAATTAAGAGTCAAAGTGTGAGTGCTGTAAAGAAGTTTCTGTGTCCCCTTCTGCAGTGCATTTATCTCTCCATTGATCTGTTTTTTTCACAGCATTGATTTTCATATCTTTCTCAACATTCGGCCAACTTAGCCTTTCCTCCCTGTTGGTTTAGCCATTTCTTTTCACACGACACTGCAACTAATATCACATATGAAAGGCTTCAGTAAAGGAACCTTTCAAGAGAAATACATGCTGAACAGCTCTGTAACCTGTATGCTAGAGGGGTCTTGCTGAATTTGCACAGGTCGGACAATGAACCTATATTAAAGTGCAAACTGATTCATTCTATACATTTATTTTTAGATTAGATAGAACTTCATTGATCTGTTTGGGAGCAATGAAGTTCTATCTAATGGAGACACTTATCTGAAGCTTACTTAACTCCAAATGCTTCTCTGCTGTTTTTTCACAGGTAATTGGCCAGCTTCTGTGGGATTTGATGTCACCTTTAGATTGGTTTAACTGAAGATGGAAACACTGGAGTCTGAGCTGACGTGCCCGATCTGCCTGGAGTTGTTTGAAGACCCCCTGCTCTTGCCCTGTGCCCACAGCCTGTGCTTCAACTGCGCCCACCGCATCCTGGTGTCTCACTGCTCCACCAGCAAGCCCCTCGAGTCCATCTCAGCCTTTCAGTGCCCCACCTGCCGTTACGTCATCACGCTGAATCACCGCGGCCTGGAGGGCCTTAAGCGCAATGTGACGCTGCAGAACATCATTGACCGCTTCCAAAAGGCCTCAATCAGCGGCCCCAACTCCCCCACCGAGAGCCGGCGCCTGCAGCCGCAGCGGCCCTACACCGCCACCATTAGTGGCACAATAGCCGGGACGATTGGCGGCGGCGGCGGCGGCGGCGGGACGAGTGGAGGAAGTGCCCGTGGCAGCCCGGCCACTTCCAGCCACTCCCACCCGCACGCCAACCACGTCAACCACTCCAACCACACCAACGCCAACCACAGCCCGGCGGTCGTGGCGAAGATGGACCCGCGCATCAGCTGCCAGTTCTGCGAGCAGGATCCCCCGCGCGAGGCCGTCAAGACCTGCGTCACGTGCGAGGTGTCGTACTGCGACCGCTGCCTGCGCGCCACGCACCCCAACAAGAAGCCCTTCACCAGCCACCGGCTGGTGGAGCCCGTGCCCGACACCCACATCCGCGGCCTGACCTGCCTGGAGCACGAGAACGAGAAGGTCAACATGTACTGCCTGGTGGACGACCAACTCATCTGCGCCCTCTGCAAGCTGGTGGGGCGCCACAGGGAGCACCAGGTGTCCTCCCTCACCGAGCGCTTCGACAAGCTTAAGGTTAGTCCCGTGTTGTTATCCTCTGCAGAGCATGCAGTCCACAGAGTCCGCAGCAGCACTTTTTTTTTATGTTCTATGACTTCTGTGCACGTGGAGCTCGGTAAGTCAGCTAGATTGACCAACTGATGATTTGTGGTTAGTCTTTAATAATATTCGCCCTTTCTCACACAGCGTTCAACATTCATCATCGGAATTTGTTTGTTTGTGCTTAACTAAATTGCGCAATCTTTAATCCAGCCTCTCCTGCCACGGGAATGTGTGTTTCTGTTGACCACAAACTGTCCGCATCACAAAGATTCCATCATACATAGCAGCCTTTGTTGAGCAAGTAGGACAGAAAGACAGAGACAATTGACATGGTTCACTGGTGAGAGGGGCAGAGAGAGACGGAGACCAATAGGGAGGGCCGTCATTATAATAGTCGATGAGCTGGCATTCCCTGTGGCCACTGAGCTTTCAGAGGCTCTGCGTAAAGACCGGGACTGCTGAATCAGGGTGAAAACAACAGAGGAAGGCACTAACTGGAGCTAATTCCACCACTATGGGCCTAAATCTGTGAGCTGGCACCAGCTGGCCGAAAAGTTTTTAACTTGAATATGTGTTGGTCATGTGTGTAAACATGATGCGTGCATGCCAGTGTTTTTGTTTTTGTGTGTGTGTTTAGTTTATCTGATCAATAAAGTCTATGTTTCAGGAAAGACCACCAGATTTAAGACAACAGCGTTTTTAAAAACAGTGAGACAGTACACAGAGCAACATTCACACATATTATTCAGAGTGGAATCAGAAAGATAAGAATTTGGGGCAAAAACAGGGATTAAAACAGTTTAACGCGTGTTATTATACAGCATATGAAAAAACTGTACTAAACCACAGTGCATATTACTATGCAGCTTGCTGGTCAAACCTATTGAGCTTCATTGAAAATTGAAAAATGAGTGTGCTGAAGGAAAATTATGGTGAGAATGATTATGACTCACAGAGCTAAAAAGGATCAACTGAAAACAGAAAGGTGGAAAGACTGTTAAACTCACCGAAGACTGTCTGTGCTGTGTATTTGTTTGGATAGTTAATCCACCATTATCAAAAACCAGCAATCCCTGCTAATGTTTTCATCTCCCAGAATGCATTAATGTTTTCATGTTTTCACGTTGAGTGGCGTTAGCAGATAGTTTGGGAGTTTTAATGGTCCAACATTTGTTTTTTGTGTCACTCAAAACAGTGGGGGTGAGGTATGTTTTTCCATTGATAACATTCCTTGTATTGCAGAAATAATTCTCATTGAGGCTCTGAGCTGAACTCAGCTGCTGCCATGATGTTCTCACCAGCTCCAAGCATCCTTATTGCTTTAGTAAAATTGCTGTCTTTTATTCTGTGTCATTGGAGTTTTGTGCTCCTTAACTGTCACCAGTGTCAGCAAGTTTCCAGCCTTTTGCTCTCACTGACCAGTGGTGTGAGTCACCAGACTCTGCTCAGAATGTAGAATGGTTCACTGGGAGTTGTTTGCTGCTGCGGTTCTTTTGAACATTCCCCTGCCAGGACTTTGTTCTTTGTTGACTTTGAATCAGCCCGAAATCCAGAAAAAGCATAACTCCATTCCAGGTTCCAGTTAACCAACGAGTGACGGTCGAAACTGACTTAGAATCTTCGACCCACCAGGGGAAATTTATTCATCCTTTTTCAGCTTTCACAGAAGTCTTGTATTTGTTTTAAGTTCATGTGATAAATCTTTTCATTGGCTGGTGTTCTTCCACCCCACCCCTGGTCATTGGCCGAAATCACTAAAATAAATCCGGTTGGCTGTTGACCTCCACCTCACATTGTTTCTCTTTTGACTTCTACATCACCCTTCACATTATCCCCAGTGCCTCTTGTGTAACCTGGGAGCTCTGCTGTCGCTATGATTTCGTTCACATTAAGGGGAAAGGTAAACTTCCCTCGAGCCAAAAAGAGTCGATGACTGAAAACGCCAACAAGCGCCCGCACGGTTAAAGACGGAGTGGGCCACAACTGAGGCTGCAGGGAGGCGACTTAATTCCCCTGGCAGCTGCTAAGTGGAGCTCTTTACTCAGAGGCATACAAATTGCTCGCCTATGATTGGCTGCGTAATCATATTTTGCTTTGATATACTTAAAAGACTGCAGCCTACGACTACTCCTTCTCCTGAGTTTTTGTTTTCACGCTATCAGATTCACCAGAGTCTGTGCTGTTGTTGGAGTGAATATCTCATCATTCCTGCTTTAAAATGCCATTTCAGGAAAATCTTAACATTTTCACTCAGATGCTAGGAGACATAGTCAAGATGTAAAATGTAAGAATTTGACAGGACTGCCCTGTCTTTGTTTTCAGGTTGTGTGTTTGTGTTTATTATGCAGTGTTTTAGCATAATGTACTGAGAGGGATATTTAAGGTGTCTGGTTTTGTGATGAATAGAGTCAAATGGCTGTAGTATTTGTACATATCAGGATCCCGACACGAAGGAGTAAAGACTTCGTGCCACAGTAAAGATGCAGTGTTGAATCCCGGTCACTTCTAAATCACAGCAATGGTATTTAACTGCCGTTTGAGAGAGTGGAGCTCAGTTCACCATCCAGCCTCTAACAAACCAACCAGTCAGTTTATTTACTGGAAGCGGTAACATGTTGGCACTGGCACTCACTCATCTGGGTCAGTGTAATCTTAAGTGCTTGCTTTTCAAGAACCAGGCACTCAGCAGCACCGGGGGCAATGACATATTTAACATGCTGCTTAGTTATGCTGCCCTTTGAATATTTTAGATTTTTGCACCAGTGGGTAACATCGGGGGGGGGGGGGCTAATGCCCCTCAGAAAACATATCCACAAAGAAGAGCAAGGTTGCAAAAGTGAGCAGATGAGGAGGGTAATTATAATGTAAGGAAACAAGAGACATGATGATGAATAAATCAAATGAAAAGGAAGAGTGTTCTTGCTCTACTTAAATTCATTGCCTGCTCTTACTGTTTTTTTTTAAAGCTCTCTGGGCTTTGAAAATTTCAGGCATGCACATGGTGGCAAACCTTTGGCAAAACTGACACTTCGCCAGCTTTCTTTGATGGATCCTGACCCTCAGCTGCCTCTATAACTTGTGCTCTCTGACCACATTGGGACCTTGCCGCGTTTCTCTCGACGGTTTTCATTCTGTAGGTCTCTGGGTGTCTCACATGTATGTGCAGCGGAATTTTCCAGGTGATTTTAGGATGAATTTCTTGTTGAACTACACCCCAGAATCTGCCCTCTTCTCCTCTCCACCCTTTTCCTCTAATTCTTTATTTCCTTCATTCCCTCCAGCCTTTATTCTTTAAATTCATTGACTTTCCTCACCCCTTTTATCATTTGCTCTCACCCCATCTAAGGTCCTTAAGGCACTGTCTGACTTTTTTCCATACATTCGGCGCCTCATGTCAGTTTTCACTGCCAACTCCACTCCACAGCATTTCCACCCATTTACGCTTTACTGAATTCCGAGGCGAGCTTATACATTAGTGTAGGAACAGAAGCAAGCCTGACAAAGTCATTTTATTTTATCAAACTCATACAAACAAATGTACTGTTCCTTTTTTTTTCTTTTAAGTGTGACACTCTTGATCTGATTGTACACAAAATACTGACAAAACAATTTAAAAAGAAAATGAAAAAACTGTGTGAAAGACTCCAGCTAAATGTGTGCACACCCAACTCTTTATTTCTCATTAAGTCACATATTTAATATTACCTCTCCCTCATAAATAGGCTCCCACCGTATCCATCACTGTCAGTATAGCTCTCCCACCTTCTCTGTATTTGCATAGAGGCAGACGAAAGACATCCTTCCCACCTGCTTTCTGTCACACTGTTTTCATCTCTCTTCCCTCTCCTTCTCCTGGCCCTCAGCCAGTCTGTCTTGTTTTAACACCACTCCTTTCCACCCCCAGTCACCCACAAACCCACACACACTGCAGCATACTGGATACTGCTGCTAAGAGAGATTCACAGCCCTCTCCTGTGTTCGTGTGATTGCCTTTAAATCTGTGTGCCGCTGAGCAACAGTTACGGGAGTGCGTGTGTGGTGTGTGTGTGTGTGTGTGTGCGCGTCCACCAGCACATATGGGTGTGCGTGTGTATCTGAGCAGATGCTATAATTGTAAATGTGAGAGATGACTGGAGGCTGAGTGCACGGTGCCATCAGAAATCATGGCTCTACCTGGATTAAAGTGTGAGGTGGAGCATACTTAGTCATGCTGACAGAATCGCCAAAGATGTAGTAGAAAGCTTTTAGAGACTGTGTGCGCCATCTCTCTGCCTACATGCTTCAGCTTGCCTATGAGAAAACATGCGTTGGTGGGTTTACTATATGCGAATAAAGCTTATAACTCACCATGTGCGCGAGCAGGCCCGGTTCAAGCCTCATGTGTATTGTTAGACTGTGTAACAACAGTGCTTCATAAACGCCAGTTATCTATGGGGGAAAAAAATCAACCACTTAATAATACGCAGACTACTTATGCAGAGAGAAAGTGTCAGTGTCAGCAGGAATACAGTGTGTCACAGGCTGAGGGATCAGAATCACATTGCTCATCTCTGAGCTTTGTGTTTATGTTTGGAAGCAATGCACAAAACCATCTATTTAATCAGCGTGTCAAATGTAGCTCTCTTCTGAGCACATTTTACTCGTGTGACTGGATCGTTGATATCCTCAATGCAAGCAGCTATAACGTGACACTGATATTAACCGACTTGTCAGTGATTCATGTAATTGAACTCGAACAATAAAAGCAGATAGCATTGTCTGTTGGTTACACCTCTCATCCTGTTGCTCTGAGCCAAAGTGATGGACTAAAGCTAACGTAACCACATAAAAACTGTCGCTATTAAATACTGCTTTATAAAAGCTTATTTAACAATATATATTTCACACATCAATTTCAGCATATCCAGGTTCCATTTGGCTTGACAAGTAAGTATTTAATGTGCTTTTTTTGATCGGTTTGAAAGCTACAAATA